GTTCCTCGAGCACATTGACCAAGTCGTGTTTGCCACCGGATACCGTTATTCCTTCCCGTTTCTTCCGCAGTTCCACCGTGAAACGGGATCGACCGACCGCCCCATTGTCACAGATGGCACCCATCTACGCGCCCTCCATCTCGACTTTGTCTCCATCGAAGAGCCAACGATCGGATTTCTCAACAGTGAGGCCAAGAACACTGCTTGTAAACATCGCTTATTGGCTTTACAGTGAACTGGGGAATGCAATCATTCACATATGCCGAGTATCTCTCCGTCGCCTTGGCCAAGGTCTGGTCCGCGAAGGCGTCCCTGCCGTCCCAGGACGAGATGTGGAGGGCCCACGACCGACGAGTAGAGGAACGCGGAGGCTATGGTCGCCATCTCCAATTCCTCGGCGAAGACAGGAACTCCGGTATGACGTTTCTTCGAATGCGCCCAAACGCGGCCGTCTCAGTCATCTGCTAGCGAACATTCGGTTCTTTGTCGGCTGGCTCAACGATGCAGCGGTGAAATTCGGCGGAAAACAGGTGCGTGACATTCTTGCGATCCCAGGTTTGACTGGCTGCTGAGCGTTTCACTTGCAAAATTCAGCTCGATGGCGAAGATAAAAAGTATGTGCATCACCTGAGTGCTCGCGTCACCCTATTCATCACATGCGCTCCCAGCTATCACGAAATCATGACGACCTGGATAAAATCGATGTACCCGTCTTACAACCTCCGGGATTCGAGTAAAGAGGAACGCCAATCCGTACAATCAGTGGATTGGATCTACGGAGAAGATTGGTAGAAGGTGTAGGGTCGTAGTCCATCATTTCATATCACGTGATTGTTAATCCCTGTATTTTCGACTTCAACTTCACGGCGAAATCGTCTCAACCTCTGCACTCAACACTTCCGTATGAATGGTAGTACATATCATGAACACTGGAATTTGTGGAATTCTTCTGTGCACGTCCCGCCCAATCAGCCAAGCAGCGCGGCATCCTCCTCATCGGCAGGAGGCTGGGTACAGCGCAGGACTCAGAGATCGGACTGATTGAAACAGGACCTAGCCCTTCATAGCGAAATTGAATTGCCGACAAGATGGGGAATATATTGTGATATAAGCTATCTCTGGCGACATCTGACGCGATCGTGTCGCGAATGCTCACTCGCACCCCAATCCCACCATGTGCCGATACTCGAACTTCCCTCACGTCAGATCCCATGGCATGATTCGAGGCTATATTGCGCCAAAACGACTGGTGCATGCCCGTTAAGAAGAATGCACCTCGTCCAGCCTGCTAGCCGTTCGGTCTACGATTATGACCACACCGAGCTTGGAGTATGCCGTGCCCGCGGAGGTCAAGCCTACACCGCAGACCGACACACAGAGTCGATGGGCGATACTCTGGGACACGGCAGGGGTCGGCCGTGATGAGCGTCGGATGCTGCTCAAGGTCGATGCGTCGCTGCTCATCTTCGCTTCCGTCCGTGCTTTTCTCTGCATCCGCCCCGACTCGGACATAGCCCTCACGCCACGTGTAGCTGGGATACTTTATCAAGAACCTGGATCAGGTATGCTTTTCTTTGCAGACTGGTGTTCACAGCCTGACTGGGTTGCATAGACGAATGTCACCAGTGCAGTGAGTAACTGGCGGTATCGCCGATCGTGAGGAAATTCACATATCGATTCAAGTTCTTCGCCGGGATGGAGCAAGATCTGTGTGTATTTGGCAACTGAATGCGTGAACTGCACCCCTCAATCGCCTCAGGAACATGACTGGGAACCAACTGGTGTATGCGACATCGTACTGGACCGCAGGGTCAGTCATGCAACCCGTTCTCAAGTTTGTTGACTCAGCTTTGCTGCAGCTATGTCATTGGGCAGATCCCGTCGAATCTCTTGTTGACTCGGATATCTCCGCAGTATGTCATACCTTCAGTGCGTCCCAGTCTTGTCCAATGATCGATCAAACGGGTGTCTGACGGAAAGTTCAGCTCGAACTTGCTTGGGGCCTGGCTACACTCGGAACGTATTCTGTCAAGAACGTCGAGTCACTGTACGCGCTGCGGTTTCTCGTTGGTCTCTTTGAGTCCGGCTTCTACCCAGGAATGCATTACATTCTCGGGTCCTGGTACACTCCACGTGAATTGGCCAAACGGACAACCATATTCTGGACTGCGGGATCGCTGGGCTCGATGTTCTCCGGCTTTCTGCAGACAGCAGCGTACAAACGGCTGAACGGCGTGCATGGGCTAGCAGGCTGGAGGTGGCTTATGATTATCGATGCTATAATGTCCGTTGCCGCCGTCTCCACGCGCTATCGAACTCACCAAATTCAAGAACGATCCCCATCGCCCTGTTCGGCTTCGTGTTTCTGCCAAATCTACCCTGGGCAGCGGAGCCGTCGTTCATGCTCAGTCAGAGGGTGGATATTGCCCGACCTCAGATCCTCCGGTTGCTGATTCCTGCTCAGGACATCGATATTGCTCGTGCCCGTATGAAAGCTGTTGGCCGCAAGTCTCACGAGCCGTGGTCCAAAGCCAAGCTTCGACGCATCCTCAGTCACTGGTACATATACGTGCTTCCCATCGAGTATGTTCTATGGAACAACGGAAGCGCCCAATCGCCAATGCAGTACTGGCTCAAGAGCTTCAACGTGAAACCGTACCCTGTGCCGGGGGTGTCATACTCTGTGTCCCAGATCCAGCTGTGTGCGTCATGTCGTTTGTGTTTTGAACGAGGAAAACTAGAATTCTGTGCTTTCAGTACCGCTTCCTGCGACTGCTATCCTGATTGTCACTGCCCTGATACTGGCGTGGATCAGCGACGGACCTGCAAGAGGCAAGCCCTCAGTCCGCACATCTCCTGATCTGCCAGACTGATCTCCACCTGCAGGCTTGCGTTGGCCATTCATCATTGCTGGCGCTGTCTCGAACCTCATATTCAACATCATCTGGCTCGCACTGCCTCTATACAAACACATCCGGGGCCATTTCGCGTACTTTTACCTAATGACTATCGGGGTCAGTCACGGTTTCGTTTTACTTCTGATTCTAGAGTGTGAATCGATGTTTTAGACGACCGCCGGCCCGTTGATCATGAACTGGATCAGCGAGATTACCCAGATGGACGTGAGCGCATTTCGACTCACTTGTCGACGAGACTGACTAGCATGGACAGAGTGAGCTGCGCGCCCTCTGTGTTGCACTGGGCAACGATCTGGCCTACGTCGTCCAAGCGATCGCGCCTAATTTCGTATGGAAGACAACCGATTTCCCGCGTGCTGCGAAAGGCTACCACTGGTCGATCGGTCTGCAAGTCATGCTGAGTGAGTGGCCGGCTAAATCCCTGCTTTCTCATCTCATCTTCATCAGTCTTGTGGACCGGGCTGATCTTGTTCCTGCTACGCGAAGATAAACGCAAGCAGAAAGGCACAGACGAAGAAGAGAGCCAGACTGAGACAGGAATCACACGGGTGTCGGATGTCGGACCTAAAGATGCAATAGATTAGTTAGCAGTCGCCGTGTTTAGTCAGGAGGGGGTGCAACATAGAATGTGGATTGCGCGATTTTGTGTACTGAACGAGGTCAGATGTCTGCTCGTACAAAGTTTAGCCAGCCGCAATCTATTCCAGATTGTTGTGTGGGAGACAAACTGTCGTCGATGGCGTGCGATATTGTGTGATTCGAAGAGGAAGAGGGGGTCAGTTGGGACTGTTATCTTTGGAGCAAGAAGGGCTGCCGATTGCGCTATGGCTATTCGAACTTGCGAGTCCAGCAGAGCCAGTCGGCAGTCGTATTCGCAAGAAAGTGTCGAACGGGCCATCATATTACGTGCTGCGGCATAAACGTATAAGTACTGCCTCGACCGACAGGGAAACGCAACCAGTCATGGCGCCCGTTGCAACCGAAACCGTAGCCAGCACTCGTGCTCCCGCCCACCCCGTCATCAAGCCCATTTCTGGCCCGTTGGCGACTAGACCGGAGTATCCAGAGGAGAGCGAAACGTTCAAGCGTCCGCCCGAGAACACCCTCAGACGTTACGAGCGTGCGGGCATCGATATCTCCCGTAAGCCGCCCTCTCTTCATGTCGAATCGAGGTTGAACCTCTGCAGAGGGCTACCCGTACCTCCCGAACAAACCCGAGTTTGTTCAGGATGTCGAGAAGCTCCAGACCAATCTGCGAGCATACAACGATCCCGCTAGCCGTGCCGATCCCGAGAAGAAGGCACTCTTCGGCGCCGCCCAGGAGGTCCGGGATTTGTCGATCCACATCGGAGTGAGGGAGACTGTCTCGAGTGCGACGTTTCGATTAACGTTGTACAGACTGAGATCGTGGGTTTGCAACTCGAGGATTTGAACGAGAAGCAAAAGGACGAGCTTGCACTCCTTATCGCGTGAGTCCCATCCAATGAAGATCTATCTCGGCGCTAAATGTCGTTCAGGGAACGCTCGGTCGTCTGTGAGTCGATGCTGACTCACCTTTCAGCTCGTGCTCTTACTGATACATCGCAGTCTTCCGTGATCAACAACTGGCGCCTCAGAAGCAACGCGAGCTCGGAGTGTATCTCGGGGATGGTGAAATCGAGATTCATCCGCAAGTTCCCCAGGTCCCCGGATTGCCTGGTGTGACGCTCATTTGGGAGCGTGCGCGTGAGTACCGGCTTTCGTCTCCCAGGACCTTCCGGACGGCATACCCATCCGGCAGCTACGGCTGTGAGTAACGTTATCAATGCCCAAGTGGGTGAGCCAATGACTGAGTTTCCCCATGAACAGGGCACACTGATCTCGTGCACCTCGCCTTCCCTCCCGGCTACACTCATCTCCATCAAGACACCGTCCCGCCTGTGGGCGGAGACACGCTCTGGGCTTCAGGCTACGCTGCCTACGACAAGTTCTCGCCCAAGTTCCGCTCCCTGCTCGACGGCTTGAAGTAAGTGTTGATGATCGCCTGCTCTGAACCTTCAGCTCACAAAGACCACTCGCAGTGGGATCTACCGCTCTGCGCACCAGTACAAGGACGCCAACGACGCGAGCGCGCCGCCTCGCCACGTCACCATCGTCCACCCTCTTGTCCGCACGCACCCTGTGACCGGCTGGAAGACGGTGTTCGCGAACCGCGCCATGACGGTTGGAATCGAGGGGCTCGATCAGGCAGAGAGCGACGCGATCCTCAACCACATCTTCGAGTGAGCCGCCCGCCAGTTCCAATCACATTCAAGCAGTACTGAATCGATATTCAGCGTGTACGAGAAATCGACTGACATCCAGATCCGCTGGCAGTGGACGCCTGGAACCTCGGCTATGTGAGTCTCTTTTCTTATCTAATCGTCCGCCTTTCTCACTTGAAAAATCCAGCTGGGACAACCGCTCGACGATCCACACGGTCTCCTTCGATTACGAGAACAAGGAGGAGCGACACGGCACTCGGGTGAGCTCTTTGGGTGAAGTTCCGTTCTTCAATGGCGGGAGGTCGAGGAGAGAGGCATTGGGTCTGGATGCGTGATACGGTAATAGAACGGAGGGCAAGCGAGTCGAGTTGTTGTAGTTTGCCAGAGTCCACAGAACAAGCAGTGAATGTAAACCAAGTTCTCACGTGTATACTGTTGATCAATGACCGTGACGGTCATAAGGATGAGATGATAAGATTCTCATTCGAAGCTCGGATTGCGGAATTCGAAGGTTGAATGATATCGTTTGAAATAGAAGCAGAGAATGCAACTACATTTCAGACTATGATTTGCGACCAACTTGTCGGGAGCACAGTCTCACGTCCGGTGTTCGCAGGTCCCATGCCGAGCCCTGTTGCGGGCCGATCGCAGGCCGGCTGGGCAGGATCGCTGGAAAGGAAACTCTGAACAACAGAATCGTCCCAAAGGCAGCCAGATTGACCCCGATCGGGATCTCTTCATCTGATCCAGACATCCACAGACCTACCAGACCTGCTCCTGAAAGAGAGTGATTCTCATGTGTCAGCCGACAGTGGGAAAGATGTGGGCTGGTCGCGGGGCAGCTCGAAGCTGGAGACTCAATGTGTAGTTTCTGAGTGGAGTCGGTGTCGAGGGCTCCTTCGTCGCTGTGCGAGTCGTGGTGAAAGTAGCGTCAGAGCTCATTACGTGCGACACACGGAAGCGTAGCCGAAACCCCACACGGGGTTCTCAGGGGCAGACGGAAACGCAATTCTCAGCGTCGCCTTCCCGCGGTGTTTATCATCGGGAGCTTCGATCCCGCAGCACGGACTGCCTGGCCACTGTTCACGTCATGCTGCTGCGAGAATTTACTATCAGATTAGATATTGATCAATCGTTTCACAGAAACGGAGATAGAACGGCCCACAGAACCGTCTTTCCAATATTTCTCCTTGATTTGGAAGAAGCCAGAAGATAAGTTTCGCTTGCTGAGAAAAGTTGGCTGGCGACACGATTGCATGCCTTTGAGCAGTTGGAGGGATGAGGATGCAAGCCACATGCTCCATATTCATGCCAAAGAGAGGCTTCATTCTAGATCAAACATTTTTCTAGTTCGAAAGCAAAACAAATGATTTGAAAAGGCTCAAAGGGATCAAGGAACGAGACAGACGTCGTCCACACGTGATCATAACGATCACCTGACTATTGCTGATCGCGAACTGCGGTGATCCCTGCCTCAAACTGGTACTCGACCATCATGAAACCAAAGCAAAACTCGTTTTCGATCTAGCTGGACGAACTACTCATGAAACGGTAACTTGAACCGAATCGGTCGTAAAGACCACCGCGTGTTCCTGACAAAGTCGCAGGAATTGAGGCACCGTGACACGGATCTGAAGCAAAGCACGTACGTTGACTGTGGGCTGAACGACGTTCAATTGCGCGGTGCCTGTGACGTTTGCCGGGATCTTGACAGAGATGGTGTCATAGAGCTGACTACCCGCGGGACCCGATCCCTGGATGTGGAAAGTGGGGTTGAATTTGCCGTCGTACAAGACAGTTCCAACGTCGCTGGTCGTCGGTTTGACAGCGCCAGAGAGCAGGCTGATGACCACGGAAGCCTCGACGGAGCCGGGCTGCACGAGAGGCTGGGTGAATACGTGAGTGGGCAACTTAGCGTGGGGCGAACGTCTCAGCTCACTGCAAAGATGCGGACAGAAACGGTTGACCCGGCCGTCAGGACAGTGCCTGCGGTGGGAGACTGAATGGTTATGCCCTGCACGAAGGACGCGAATCCGAGCATCGCGGCAGAGAGCGTGGCGGTAGTGAATTTCATTTCCGGGAGGCTGATCGTCGTTTGAGTAGCGAATAGTCGATGGCTTTGGTGAGAGTCTTTTATACGAGGGATAGCGTCATGGACCTCATTCGAAACACTTGCAGTTTGAGACTGGACCCCTGCGTCTTGACATTCACTGGCATCGCATGACCGACCGCTAGGCTCGGTTCCGGGGGGACAATATTAATGTTCACGCCTTGATCTAAAATGCCTACCACCACTCAATTCATTTCGGCCGGTCAGTACGGCTGGGCCTAAGGAGGAATGAATCTTGGACTGATGTTGTCCAGGTATGCCGTACGAAAGCCCAGACAAGATGAGTATTGTATTCTGCCGGGTAACATTGTCTGCCGAGCCCACTATTTTTGGATTTGAGAGAATTGGATCGCTTACTCACGGCGCTTAATGCGCTGATATCGGTCAACACTTCGAGCAGATATCCGTCCGTCGGCACGAATGAAAAATACAGAAAAATACAGTGTTAGATCATCGGGAAATACGTGGCAGCGAGCCATCAGATCAATTGAGGTTATTCTTGTCTTGCCTCCCCCTGTATGTCCATGTGCCGTGGCATAAACAGCGCGTTAGTTATCTGGTGGCTTCAGAATCGTTGCTTATGGATTGTAGAGCCGTTAAATGACAAGGAAGGTTCTGCAAGCTGTTCTTTACTCCATTCTTGGTCATATCGAAGGCCACTGACGCTTGCCCGATACCTCGACCGAAGCACCTCCGCGGGACTGTTTATCGTTCGTGCATCCTTCTCGATGCCAATCCGAAGTATGTGTAGTATAAAACAAAGAGAGCCGCTGGACAAAATATATCTGCAAGCGTGGGCCTTATTCTTGTCGATGCCTCCATCTCTGCCTTCGAGTTCCTCGACCCCTGCGAGCGATCCAGTCGATGTCGATCATCGCAAGCGGTGCGGCTAGCTTCCCTTCGAGAATGCTGTCGAATATGCCTGCTAATCGAAAACACACCAGCCGGCGTAATCGGACGACCCATTCTTGTCTCCATTGCCACACCACGAAGCGCATGGTGGGTCTCCTCTAGTTTCAGCACGTGATGTCAGCGCTTAGATTGTCGCAGTGCGACCGGAAACGGCCTTGCTCTCGATGCACGCGCCTTGGTCTTGTGAGGACCTCCGGCCTGCGACGGCTGAGCTTTGTTCCGGCTGACGCTGTTTCGCAGACAGGGAATTGTGTCTATGAGATCGACGACCCAGAGGAGAGAGTGGTCAAGGTCGATCAAAAGACCCGAATGACTAATCGGATTGCTGAGCTCGAGGGGGTCATTCGCGAGGCGCGCATATTAAAACGGCGGAGCAAACAGCTATCTCATTAGAAAATCTAACTCAGTTGAAGCACAAGCCCCATCCTCGGTGGCTGTCCGGGAGATTATCAGCGGAAAGTGACGTGCAATCGACCCGTTCATACTCTCTCGGATCATCTTCCTCAGAAGGGCCGCCGCTCGCACCGTCCCCCAGATCTGGAGTTCCCGATGTTCCAGTGCCCTTGCATTTCCACAGGTACTGTAACAAAATGGAATACGGCTTGATTCTGATTCAATCATTCCACGCCACATCGCGCAGACTGGGACGGTGTGGATGTCTTGACAATCTCTCCTGCTACAATGCCGTGCTGGAGCTTTCGCTTGGGCTCCGCAACGCGACCGATGTTCTCGCTCGCTCATCGAACCACAGCGGAGACCAAGGCTGTGCGTTAACCGTGTGTATTTCGGAGATGGACGATATGCTCAAGTGAGTCGGTTATATTTGTTGCATGCGCAACTCTATCAACAGAGTAGGAACTCGCTGCTCGGCGATAACCCTTCACCGATGGTTGAACAGCAGTATGATCCCCTCTACTATGATCGCTCGATGATTGATCCCAGCAATTCATTGGGATGGGACCACTTTACGAACGAGGATTTTATGTCTTGGTCACAAGGAGGCTCGTTTAGTGGTGGTAGATAGAGAGCACCCGTTTCATGTTTTCATACAGCAGATCTAGATAGATTGAGCAGTTTTTGATTGCTTTGAGCATTTGTTTATGCGTACTTCAATTGCCTGATTAGGAATATTGATGGGCATGTGTCACGCGGCCTCAATACTAGGTTTCGAACGATGGCTAAAGGACACAGAGACTTGATAGCTGGTTAGTTCTGGCGTGCCGAGATTTTTCAACCTGGGTTGAATATCACAAATATCGTGACCAAGCAAATATCAACAAGGGGCAAAGACTCCGAACGAGCAAAAGTTACCCAGTCTACAGGCGGCGCGGCCGCCTTGCCCGAACCCGCAACCAGCTTCGACATGCGGGTAGATCAATGTGCTCCGAGCGCAGGATTCGGACTTTCATCATTCACAGTACGGCCATTGGTCGGAAGCAACGTCCGGTTCGGTGAAATGTGAAATGGAACTCCATTGAGATGGCTCCAACACACAGGCGGTGTTGTTCCCGCTTGCCTGTCTCTCTCTTACAGATCTTCCCGTCCCGTGATATCTGCTTTGGCTGTTGTGGGATGTCAGAGCTGCTGCTATCCTCTCCACTTGGTTTACTCCCTGGGGCTTCGTCCGCCTGCTCTTGCTGACATGCTGTCAAGATTTGGGGTCCTCCTGCGCCTTCCTCGTTTAGGAGGCTGATATGCATTGAGGGGCGACCCAATAAAATCAAGGGCCTGCTTGGTGCTATAACAGAGCTCAGTGGGGTGCTTCCGGGTTCGAGTGCCAAGCCAGATACGTTCATTGCTGAACGTGACGTGCAAGTGCAAAAGTTTTTGATCCGTGGTCTACGCACCGAGCTCTGCTGTTCCGCAACGCGGCGAATTGATCCATCCATCTGATTCCTACAGGGATATGGCCCTTATACTTGCCAATCACTTCGTCCATTGACGTCAGCTACACTTTCGAATGCAGACACATACTTAAGAGAGATCGAATTTGAGATATCATGTTACATCACTTATTGGCAGTCTTTGAAGAGAGCAGAAGGAAACAACGGAAGTAAGAGAGGGTTCAAACGTTGGATCTTATGCAACGAGTAGCATTAGGCAGAGCGAGAGACCAGAACCTGATGGCGCAGTTTTACAAGGTAAATGGTAATTGGTCGATGCACGCCTGGATCTGGGGGAGAATCACGTCCCGTTCATACAGAAGACGCCCGCAATTGAGTGCTGAACACTTTGCGCTCCAACACGCAAGCGCCTCGCGCCATTCTTCCACTGCGAAGCCGACGATGGTGTCCCCAAGTGGGCGCTTGTCCATCTCCATGAATATCTAGGGCGGTTGAGCATTCAAAGGGAAGTATGACTAGATAACAGCACCTACCCTCGTCCGATATTCCTTCCACAGGTAATTGTCTGCTTGCGTCCCACACCCTTTACACCGACCACACACATCCCCCCGCTTCACCCCACCATCGCCCTCCGCATCCCCACTGATCAGCCGATCAAGCACATCCCGCCGCCGGCGGTGCAGATGCAACAGCCGCAACAGCGCAGAGGCCGGCAAGCGCTTCAAGACCTCTCCGTTCTCGTTTCGGCCCGGAGCGTGACTAAATGTGTCGCTGTACAGATCCAGCGCAAGCGTGTGCCTCGCCGCCTCGGCCGCCTCGCACTCCCACCCTGCGCACACCGCGAGAGCGTACAGAAGAAGCGGCTGCGCGCGCAGGCACCGCGAGGCCGACGCGAAGGGCCGCAGACGCGCTATCACGCCTGGGGCAGACCACAGGCGTGCGAGGTCAAGGAGATCCGTCAGCGTCTGTGCGTCGTCCATGCTCCTGATGCCCTTGCCGTCGTCGGTGGTGTCCTCGGTTTTGAGCGGCGGCGGCAGGCCGCAGAGCAGGGCGAGCATACATGCTAGGAGGCCGGCCGAGACGTCGAGTGCGATGAACTCGTCGTGGAGCGCAGCGTGCCGAGCAACTGGCGGCTGTAGCGTGGCTGCGAAATGCCCTGTTGTGCGCCGCAGGACGAATCCCGGGACGCGAAAGAGGGTGCCTTCCCGTGCGCGGAGGATGGTGTCGCATGTGGGGTCATCGAAGAGCGGGTGGTAGTGTGGTTTGGACTCCATTGTCGAGACGGAGTGAGCACAGACTCGGTGAATGGAAGGCAAGTGCCTGCTGGTCTTTGCATGTTCGGGCCATCACCATGAGGCAGGGGTTGGAGAGCGAAGACAAGTACAGAAGTCGGCCGATGCCGACATTTGATCGAGAGCGTAAGTAAGTTAGAGTAATCTGCACAACATATTCTAAGAGTACGGGGAGGGTATACGTGCACCGACAGCGCCCTCGATCGTAGCTGCCTCCGCAAGCAACGATGTCGGAGGGTTCCGGCCATCGCTATCGACACTGCTACTTTCCGCGTCCGTCTCCCGACCACGGTTCAGATATCCCAGCTTTCTCCCGATGGCCCCAAAGTCAATTGCACCGCCTAGCGAACGTCCCAGCAGAAGAGGACTCCGGGGCTGTTCGGATCGCGGCGAAAGCTGAGCGTGCGACGCTCTCCGGGTCAGCGACGGTAGGCGAGACGACGGGACGGGCGATGGCGGGCTGGGTTGCTGCTGTTGGATCTTTTGTTTGAGGACTGGTGATGACGGCATGTGCCTGAGCGCCGATTTGGGCGGTCGGGGAGGGGTCGCGGTGCTGGCCACATTGGAGGACCGAAGCGGAGTAGGCGGAACTAATAACGGCGGGACCGGGGGAGGAGGCGAAGGAGAATGCTGCTGAGCGAGGCTGGCAAGGGAAGAACGGCGGCTGATCGTAAATCGTGGTGATATTGGGGACTGGGGCGCCAACAATTGGTTTTTCTGATTCTTGGACGAGCTCGGAATCTTGCGAGTCACCGGCGAGTTAAGTATCGTGGCACGAGGATCATGTCCAGGCTGGGGCGTGCTCGAAGGTGACGGCGAAGAGGCTGCCGTCGGCGCCGCAGCAGTCAGTGGGCTTGGACGTTTCTTCATCAGTTTTCCTGGGATTGCCGCTCCACGCAGTGGAATAGACGGCGGGGGACTGCGAGCACCCCATGGCCGACGCGATCCGAGTTTCGCACGGGCGTCGGCCACTGAGGAGAACGGCAAGTCCAGGCGTGACCCGAACGTCGGCGTGCCGCATCGACTGCCGGCCCTCTCTGCGAGGATCTCGAGCGGAGGATCGCTCTGTTTCTCGTCTCTGGGTTTGGAGTCGAAGAACGCCGAGCCGCTCCCAGCACGAGCCCGGCGTTGCGCAGGTATCGGGACAGCGACTGGCACAGCCACGATGTGACCGAAGAGCCATCCAGGTGGCCGATTCACGCGCACAACTTGCCAGCCGGCCGATAGCGCTAGGGCTACTATCTCCCTCAGAGTCCGCTCCTTGCCGTTGAACATCACTTGCATCTGCGGCCCTTCAGTGGACATCCCGGGCAACAATTGCAGTCACACACCGTCAAGTCCATCCAATACCCATTCGCACTGGCTTTGCCCAGGTTCGCAAGAAGGGGCGCAGGAGCCATCATCGTCAGGTTCTCTGCGCCTTCGACGTCCCTACCATCCGCTACGTTGAAATCGTCCACACAAGCGAGGGGCAGCACGAAATCACCCAACACGAGCTTCGTATCGGGTGTGGCTGCCTCTCTAAGCCGGAGCAGAATCCGCTGAGCGAAAGCGTCTGGCCAGTCATGAAGCACAACCCGCAGAAAGAACACGGCAGCGTTCGTTATCGGTTGGGGTGTGAAGAAGTCGTGTACTGTTGACCGTGAGCAGGAGCGAATACGGATATTGGGGAAAACATGTACCTTGGAATCGCACCGCACCTGAATCCAACAATTCAGGACACTTGTCGCGCCAAGCCTGGTGCCAAACATTCAGGTGAGGGATTCAAATGAGCACAGATCGTTCAACGCCGCACCTTTTCACCCATCGCAACAACGAACGGCCTGTCCTGGATCACGAACTCAAAGTCTGACTTCTCCTCGCCATCAGCGCCCGCAAACGCAGTCGCAAGCAACATGGTCGTCGAACCGATCCCACCACCAACATCGACGACGACGCTGCCTCGGGGCAGCGAACCCCAGTCAAAGCCCTGGAACACCGAGCCAGGGGATTCCCAGCTCGCCGTCCCGGCCATCGCTTTGCCAAAGCGCTCCAGACGGAAACTGTTTGGATTCGGACGGGGCTCTGATGGCGCTGGTGTTGTCTGGGCCTGCGCAAGAGCTTTAACGTCGACGCTGCTCTTTCGGGAGTGACCGGAAAGACTCTTTAGTCTCATTCTCGCGTGCTGCAGAGGGGCAATCGGCACAGGGGGTGGTGGTGGTGGACTGGCACTAGGGTTAGGACGACCGGCCAATCCCTCTCCTTCCAGCCATCCAAAGTACCCGATGCCCTCACACCCAAAGGCCAGATTAAACGGTGCCCGTGTCGGGCTCTCGCCAGCGATATTGAGCCCGGCACCGACGCCTGTGCCTTCCGTGCCACTGGGGGTTGGTCGGCATGCGGAGAGAGCGGGGAGCACCCGCTGAGCGCCAGGGAGGACTGCTTCCATGAGATACGCGCTGGACTTGTGCAGCTCATCGGTGCTAGGTCTGTGTCAGGCGTGGCAAGTATGGCGGACGGATGCGATGCGCCCGTACCACATCCCAACAAAGGCTGCAATCCCGCTGGTTTCTCCATCGCCATCGTACTTGCGTTCCGGACTGCTCGTTTCATCGTCAGAATTGTAAGACAAGTTCCAAGAAAAGGTGCAAGACAAGGCTGTGGCAAAGAAAGAGCCACCGCGAGTTCCGGGACCGAAACTCATGGAAGGAAAGCTCTTTAGCCGTGAATGCATTCGAGAAGCTGTCTCGGCGATTCAAAGGTTCCCCGAAGGATTCGAGCGCTAGAAGCAAAGAGCTTCTGATCGGGAGGAAGTCAAATAAGATCCCCAGTACAGCAGTCCAAAATCCTTGCAATTCGAAAGAGAGAGAAAGACCAGCACACGTACTGCGACAATAGATCCTTGAGGTCCTTCCCGGTATCGATGAGCGAACTGATGCGGTTAGTAGCGAAGACATTCGGTGCTGTTTCGCGGACAATGTGATGGGTGGCTAGGAGCCTCAGTATATGCGCTACAGAACCCAGAGCTCGCGTCAGCATCATAGCCAGGAGAGATGCAGCGCGCAGAACTGACCCATCCTTCCGTCTGTGGCACCGACTGCGCTCTCGATCTCCTCAACTTTGACCCCCTCCTCCTTGTCCCTCAAAATCTCGGCAACATGGGCGCCTTCGAAGACCCGCAAACAGCTGGGGAGGTTGTAGCCCATGCTGGCGTCGCACAGCGATAGAAACGGGTGTTGAACAGAGGCAGCAAGTTGAGAGGATGCTGATACAATGCGCGAACACGCAGCTGCGACCAGGGGATGTGCGGTGAGTTGCTCGGATGGCGAGGTGGGTGTATAGGGCTTGTGGAGGGAGGGAAAGTTAGGGTAGGAGTCGGGAGTGGACGCCGGTGAGGTGTTCAGACTCGGTGCTGGTGTGCGTATAGGACGGCCCGGGCCCGGAGACGGCGGTGGACTAGCATAAACACGCGATGCTGTCTTTCTATGCCCGTTCAATGGTAACGGCCCCTCTGGAACGCGACCAGAGGTATCTTCTTGTTCATGATCATCCTGATCGTCTGGGGCAAGACGCTGCGCGAGAACCTGTGTGACCGACTTTCCCTGTGCCAACTCCCGCCCAGCAAGCACGTAGACGCGTTCTATCTCGTCGAGCGCGTTGCCAACTATCTCGTGCAAAGCACGCAGCTCGGCAAAGGTCATCGTTCAGCAGAGTATAAGCTTCGCGTCGATAGCGAATGGGAATGGAGGCAAAGCACGGGGAGAAAGAGAGGTGTATGGTCGCGATGGTAGGAGCACGACTGACCCTGTGTCGAAATCAAGCTGGGACAGACCCACTCGGCCTAATGACTGAATCTAATCCATTCGGGTAGTCAATTTGCCTCTTTCATGCCGACATTTGACGCGTCTTCTGTTCCGCGTCAAGTGACTGCACTTGTTCGGGCCTGTAGTCGCTTTGTCCGATGGAAGGCGCATCGTGAAATATTTTTGAAGCGAAAGAGTCTGCCGAATTCCGAGAGTAGATAACGCGTGTGCGACTTGCGACATATAGTGTAGAGTTCAGTCGAGGCGGTCGAGGAATGGTTACGAGGTAGGTTTATTTGGTCATGTGTTTCTGTATCGTAGGATTCCGGACATCCCAGATGATTCCGAGCTTCTCCGACCCCTTTTGAGGGTGCATTTCCTTGATCAGCTCGCTAAATTCCACCAAGAATTTGAGGAGCACGAACTATGACGACCGTCAAGGTGAGAGGAGATGTCTTCGACATGTGCATCACACTGTATAATGACTTTCCAACCAAGATCACGTGCAGGTTCAGTCGAAATCCGAGCAATAGGGACGATTGTCAATTTTGTGATACGAGACAGAACCAGTAAGTCGAAACTAAATATTGAGGGTGCATATTCCCGTCTTGGTATGGCCTATGCTTCACGCAACGGTTTGTGTAGCCGCAGGCTTGTTGCCGATGGTCCAGTGGTCATTGTCTAGGCTCTTCTGAGCATCAAGTTCAAAAATCAATAGTTGGAACGCACTGTAGTCAACGGGGCCCTTTAAAATGTGCGTTTATGAAACGAAATCGAAGAAAAGAACAACACTCACCAAAGCCCGATTTCCAACAGTCCAGTGGTCATTCGCTAACATCCTGTAAGATTGGAAATGAAAGGCTCTTCTTGATGTACATACAATCCTCCAGGTCTTGCCCGAGTGCTCTCCCAACGTTGGGCTTTTTGCCACCAATAGACCAGTCGGTGTTATCTAACTCACATTTAGGACATCCTGATTGTCAATTCGGTCTGTACTGACCTGTGTCGACTGCAGCTGTAGTTCGAACACGCGATCAAATATTATCCAAGATCTGGTTTTAGAGAACTCACGTCCAGTTACTGCAGCGGTCGGTGCGGCGCGCTGAGGGCCGAAAATAGTAAGTGATGGGGAATTTGGCGCGCATAGCCAAGTTCAATACGAACAGCAGCGTCGCCGTGAACAGTCCAGCTGTCGTTACCTTTATCGACCTGCAGATTTCACGTCATAGCTAGCATCATTGCCCACGACGGCGCAAATAACGCACCAGATCGTTCTCGACTGCACGGTTTCCGACATGCCAGCCTTTGTTGTCATCTTCCACCTGGCAACATATTAGAAGGCGTCCTGTACCAGTGACGGGAGAAAGAAATGCTCACCAGACGCGCGTATTTCTGGAACATTCAGTATATCAGGTCGGAGAATGCAGTGAATGGGCGGCTGCACTCACATTCTGTCCAGTGCCAAACAGAGGCATCGCATTGGCAGTCATGGCCGCAAAAACAGACATCAAAATCAGGGAGAAGTTGAAGGCGACCATCGCGATGAGTTCAAGCAGACCGGGAGCTCTGGATGAAGTGAGGCCTTATGCCACACTCGCCTCTCCTTTTATACTTGGAAAGCATTCAGATCATTCATTCAGTCACAGATACCCCAGATTCAAGATGAAGCATGTACTTTTCCTGAGAGAAAGTGCGGCGAGTCGGATGGTAGAGGTCGGAGGCGTACTGAGGCCATTAGCGCACGAAGCATGAAGTGGTGGCGTCCGCTTGGCTCGATATATCTGGGCTGTTCTGCATCCGATACGTCGGGCAGCCAAGATGAAATAAGCAACGAAGCATTACTCTCATCGTTTTGGACTGGCTGGCTGCCGTGCCGTCTGTTCATTGGGAGGAGATTGGTCGGCTCGGGGACCCACCTACGACAAACTTCGTGACTGCCATCTGAGCGGTGGCCTTGATGTGGACCCTCAAACAGTGGAGGGGATTCCCCTTGGCATTCGTTGTTGCGCGGAGTCTAGGGATCCGCCAAAAAAGGACATTCTGCTGTTGGTATCTTCTGTCAGTCACATGATCCCGTTGAAAGACAGTCTGATTGGAGAATCCTCCGAATCGATCTCTACGTGATACTTTCATGGAATGCATTATCTACAGCTACATGTAGACGAAGGATTTCAATTCTTTGTCGCATGCGGGTGCTTTGATAGGGGTGTTGGACAGCGTCCTTGGTAGAGAGCAGTCGTCGTTCGAAGTCTCCTCAGCTGACCGGTTCCATATCATGCTGGTACATAGGGACCACGATATCATCGTCAATGCGCACGGTCGGATCGTACTTTTGCTTGACCATGCGCCCCAGTGCCCAATCCTGGATCTTGTTGAACTTCCGGCACGTGTGAGCCACATCGCCCCTGACGAGACTGCTGTTCGCCCAGTCCTTCCATTGCCAGCTGTGATGACAAAGAATGAGGGCGGAAAGCGAGGCACCGGATACGACGCTTACACAATCACACTAGTGTCCGCATGGCACATTAGGTCCTGGCGAATCCAGTCGAGACAGTGACCTGGGCGCGGAATTAGAGTGCATTTGGTGGCGCAGTCCCTAGCGATCACTCACCAACATGCTCGGTGGCGTTCCGCTGGCTTTCAATCCAATTGCCAGTGGTAGAGATGCGCCAGTCTGGGTAGTAGTCTGGATCCAGCTGCAAACAGTTGAGAAAACGAGGATCAACAGCAGTGCCCTCTTACCGCCATACGGATCTTATTCTGGGAAAGAATGGCTCAGAATTGAATGCATGAGCGAGATATGTCGCATACCAGACAGTGGAGATTGTGGAAGACGTTCAGTTCCGCGATCTGCACAGAATGAGACGCGAACGAAACCAGGTCGAAAGTCCTACATAGTGACCGTCGGGATCCCCAGGAATAGGATGTGTCTTGTTTGGAAGCTGGGCGGCCTCTTCTTTGGTGATCCAAGAGATACCAACTAGCAGTCGTCAATTCTCCATAGCAATCTCATTGAGTCCGGAAACGCACAGTTGTACAGATCCATCCAAGCCTCATCCAACTTCGGTGACGAAGGCTCCTGGAAGACTGCGGAAAGGTCGCCTGGTTGCAAAAAGTTGAGCACGCAATGCCGTGCACCAGGTTCTAGAGACCAACGTACCCGGGAATCCGACCCTGTACACTCGAACCTCGTTTTCGACGGCGCTGAGGGCCGGCGCTACAGCACTCGTTAGCCGAGCTTTCGTCTCAGCGTAGATGACGCTACCCACAATAAAGCGTATGCTGGTCCGGAACATTTACGCTACAGACCGGCAGTCGACGTCGGGAGAACAGCAGGAATAGTGCAACGGCGAGGGCGGTGAATTGTACGGCTATCAGCGTAAAGAGGATGGACCGGGATAGTTTCGAAGCCCAGTACGATGGAGCCCAGCGGTTCCTCGGGGGCTGACAGCGTTGGAATCACTCTCGACATCGACCTCGTACACGGGGTCATCGCTCATTAGCGGCCTGTACTGCTCCTTGGACATCGTAGTGCGCGACGGAGAAAAGAGCAAAAGAGCAGGGGATGGAATCTGGGATCAGGGCGACAGACTCCAACGGATTATGCGCCGCCCAATCTTCTCGTCTTAATCCCCATTGGTTCACATCTAGAGCAGAGTTCCAGGCTACAGTATTCACGATAGATTCGGGTGATAGACGTTTTGAAGGAAGTTCGTGGGCGCTTGGTGGCTGATCCCGCGAGGTCCATCTCAGATCGCCAGTAAGCCGTGTCACCTCAATCGGTCGAGCACGGAGATTGAGTGATACGTTATCCAAACAAGTCACAAGGATGGTCTCACACACGTGACAACCAATTGGATCATTCGAACACGTCTGGGACGCGTTATTAGTCAGAGATGTCGTGCGTATTCAGTCAAGATATCCTTGATTGGGTGATAATCTTTCGCGATTAGCTTTCACTTCCTCTGTCCTGTATCAGCGAGGATTCGTCCACAGGTTGGATCACCCTCGCATATCAGCCAAGCACTCACCACGAGCAGCAGAACATAGATCGAACAGTGCTTCGAAACTATCTTATCAGTCGAACGATGCAAACTCGGATGACAGCTCCACTCGGGCAGGTTCAGCCTGCCCAGAATGCCAACACAACGTCAAGAATACCTCAGCTTGCGTGATCATCTATGCAGCAGGCATTCTCTCTGAGCGATCCTGCGGCCAAACTTGGCTGATAAAAGCCAGCGAGGGGAAGCAGGCCCCTCAGAGACACTCCGCCTCTTCACCCCATCATCCTCCGAAATGAAGTTCTCTGCTCTCCTCGCCCTCACTTTCGCTGCCGTGGCTATCGCTAGCCCCCTGGTGAGTGATCCTGCCAGCCAAGCTTTTCCACTGAGAGGATATCTAATTCTTTCGGCAGCCGCGTCCGGTCGAGTCGCTTGACGGCAAGAATGACGGATGGACGATCGGTAGCAAGCCGGCTCAGTCTCGTCAGGTCGAGCCGCTTGAGAGCAAGAACGACGGATGGACCATCGGTGGCAAGCCTGCCCGCTCTGTTCAGTCTCGTCAGGCCGAGCCTCTCGAAAGCAAGAACGACAAATGGTCCATCGGTGGCACGCCTGCCCAGTCTCGTCAGGTCGAGCCGCTTGATAATAAGAATGACGGTTGGACGATCGGAAAACCTGCTCAGTCTCGTCAGGTCGAACCGCTCGAGAGCAAGAACGACGGATGGACCATCGGTGGCAAGCCTGCTCGCTCTGTTCAGTCTCGTCAGGTCGAGCCGCTCGAAAGCCAGAACGACAAATGGTCCATCGGTGGCACGCCTGCTCAGTCTCGTCAGGCTGAATCCCTTGAGAGCAAGAACGACGGTTGGACCATCGGTAGCAAGCCTGCTCAGTCTCGTCAAGTCGAGCCTCTCGAGAGCAAGAATGATGGATGGACCATCGGTGGCAAGCCTGCCAAGGCCCGGGCAGTCGAGCCCCTCGACTCGGACAACACGAAGTGGACCATCGGGCAGAAACAGCAGCGCCAGGCCGAGCCGCTTGAAAGCAAGAACGACTCGTGGACCATCGGACACGTGAACAACGCGCGAACTGTGACCGACGTCGGCCATGCTGCCCGCTCCACATCCGTTGTGCGTTTCTTTGAAAGCTGCGCGAAATGCATTGGAAACTCACCCCGTTCCGCAGGCTCGTGCTCCCACTGTTGACACTGGTGTGTGACTTGATCTCACCAGTCTCTTCCTTCCAATCTCATCGCCCATCCACAGGAAACCACAACTGGGTATTTGACCACGGGAAATTCACCCCTGCCCCCGTAAGTCGTATTTGGCGTTTCGTGCTGCATGGCTGATGTCAAATCGTAGCAGTAAATGTCCTATCATCTGTAGTTTTACAACACGTCTGCGATGTATGAACTCACGGATGCATGAATTTGATTGGGCCTTGCGCCCACGTGTAAATGAAATCAGCTCGTTCGACATTCAGCACAGAAGATGAGTCGAAAACGTGCCTGACATCATCATTGAGAAAAGCGTTGCCCGTTGAGCGCGTGACCATGGTTCTATTCAGAGCTTCATCAAGAATCTATATGTATATGATATTGCTATATGGTTCTGGACGGATGCGATAAGTTAAGATTAAATACAACAGACTCCATGTGCAGAGCTATGATACAATGTTAGATTCCCCACAGCGATATACCTCACCCTAATCTTTTCTCGACGACTGACTTCACAGCATCCACGACGGACTGGACATTGACCCGTTTCGATACCCCAACGTTGACATATTCCAGGCCCATCATATGGGCCATGTTGTGAAAATGCTCGTTCTGTGAAATCGGTGTTAGACCAGAACATGGAGCGACACGGGACTTACACCGCGGACCCCACCAGGGACCAGCTCGATGACTGAAGCGCGGCCGGTAGGCATGAACAGAGTCAGTCCCAGCGCACCGGCATGGACGCTGACCACGACGTCTGTCCTTCCGATCATGCCAAGCTGAGAGGCCAGAGCGGTCGTTGTGGGATCAAGAGTGGCAAAACGCAGCGCTTTGCCGCCGGTGTGAGTCGAATTCCCGTCTTTGCCCAGAGCAAAGGCCTCGCGAGGATGCAGTGGCACGCCCCAAGACCCGGGAAGACCATCTGCATTGGTGAACGTACAGTCGAGTGTCCCAGGATGATGCGTGAGGTGAGAACCTGACAGACGTATTGAGCGAACGGACAGAACACGCGCTGGACAGACAGACACACCTGACACTGCGGTGAGCTTTGAACACATATCAGCCAGCCCAGAACGCAAGCCAACAACTAGATCGGCCTCGTTGAGGATATGCCGAGCATCCGACCACGTTGAAAGGCCCCCGTTTCGATGACTAGTAAATTTGCGTGAGAGGGTCGGAAGGAAATGGTTGAGAACGATCGCCTCACAGAGTAGCATCATCGAATTTCTCCCGAGACAGGAACAGGACATTGACGAATTCGGAAGAGCCAAGTGCTCGCTCCTCCAAGGCAGGCTGGGCGGAAACCTTTTCATCTCCAGGCAGAACAGGCTCCAACCCCCAGACCCATCGAAGCCACAAACTGGCACCCCAGACAAGCTCGCTTGCGCATTTGTATTTCAGGCCGACTTTGGTCCCGCTGAGCAGCGAAGCACCAGCACCGACGGAGTGGAATGCCTGAGAGAAGCATGTCGGAGCTGATCCACACCATTAACAGGGGACACGATGCCAGCCAGCAAAAGCCTTACCTCCGCCGTGTCCCAGCGCATCTGCTGCCGTTCGCCTCGCCGTCCAAGCACCGATGCGATCGTACAGGGGGGCGAATAAAGACTCCGTAGGTAGCTGAGAATCTTGGAATACGAGTTGCAGTCCGGCTGTAGGCTCCAGATCAGCTTCTAGATCCTTCCTCAGCTTCCGGAACTGTTCGAGCGCTCCGCCTCTAATATACGCTCCAGGTAATGAGGACCAGAGTTCGTCCTCCGCCGTTTGCGATCCAAACAGCGATTTAGGCTGGTAAGATTGCGCAGCATGGCGGGAGAATAGCGTGAGTGCCAGAAATGTGGTCACAAGATCTTCGCCAACGTGGAATGGGTTCCATCGATCCTGTCGAGGGACGAAGAGGACCGGGTGATCGACCGTTTCACCGCATGGCTGGTCCCCACCTTCGCCTGAGTGGAATTCCTTGCCCAAGAACATCTCCCTTTTCATATCTTTATCCAACGCGATACCGGCTTTTGTCAGCGCACACTGATCTCGTGCCCCGAAAACACCCCGGCCAGGAAGGTCTCCGCCCCATCCAGACGAATGCGTTAGATTGGATGAATGACAGAAAGACTGTGGGTATGGCCACCAGCGGTTTTGAGTGTCCTGGGGTGCCGCGGTACCCGCAGGGAAGCAGGTTATGAAAGGACTGCTCGCAGTCCGTCCTGATAACCGAGATTATAATTGGACACAAAGAGCCATGGCATGGTGCACGTACCAGACGGCTTACAGTACTCTACGGCGTTCTCCAAGTATCCGTCAATCATGGCTCCGCCCAGCTTTCCTTTGCATGTGTCTAGTCCACGAGCTTGGATCTCTGCTTGTGCCCGTGCCAAAAATAGACGGGAGTGTAACGTCGGGTGCGAATCGCGGAAGAATGGGCTGCTGTTCTCCTGTAATCTGTCCTGAGGCAAGGCGTAGTCCGTATTCCATAGACTGCCACTGCTACCGACGCCCCCACCGCCGCTAACCGTGTGGGCTCCATCTTGACCGCGAAACGGTGAAGCGAAGGCGATGCTCCATGAGTTTGGAGGAAAGATGAAGAAGACGAGGAGTATCGAGCTGAGGGTCAGCACAACAAGGAAGACAAGCGTCCGGCGTATTCGCGTCGGGGGGGAGGTGGGTGCAAGACGAGCAAGCAGCGCTTTGGTGCGCAGTGGGGGATACGTGGGCGGCGCAGATCCATTTTCGATGTCAGAAAGCGTAGTTGGGACAGGCGTGTAGGCTGTTGTGCTCATAACGGTAAAGGAGAGGGATGCGGCGCCGATGCGGCCGTGGGGGCTTGAGAAGATCGTTCACGATTTATGTACCATGCAAAAAGTACGTGTGCAGCTGCGGATGTTCCGGAATCACGGTCACGCACACCGGGCGTTGCCCACGAACAGGCATGACACTCATCAGAGGACATTCTTTTCCTCAGCCTTTGCAACGGGCATGGATGCGTGTCACGAGGATGTTCAAAACAATAGTACTGGTATCCTCGAATGAAAAATGCTTTGTTCGATGGTTAGCTCAAGCGATTAGGCTCAATCGCGACTCTGCCGAAACTATTTGCGGGTAGTGACCAAGGGTTCTGTAACTGCATCAGGTATTGAGATCAGATACTCAGCCCGTCGTGGATGGTGATGGATCATGTTCCAATGCCTCGTATACTGTACGTAGTCGTAGTCATAGAGTGCTTTCTACGCGATGATCTCCCGCGAACTGGCTCGCGCTTGTTGAGGTGACCCTGACGTCATTTGTAGAGTGACGTTCCCACGTGATAGCATTTATAACGCTTCGCGCACGGTCATAGTGAGCATGCTCTCTTCCCTATCGCGACTTCTCTTTGGATCATCACCCACTCCGGAAAGCATCATGTCCGTGAAACACCTCGTCGAAGTGCACACCTACTCTGCCCGTCCCGACTGCACTTGTAACACTTTGCACGCAATAGGATGCCATTACCACCAACAAGATTATGATCTTTTCGAAGACGACCTGTCCGTATTGCCGACGCGCTAAAGCACTTTTCACCGAGAAGTTTCCCGAGGAATCCCCCGTCGTATTCGAGTACGTGATTCCTCCGACGCTGCGATGGACGATCGCCTATGGTTTTCCAGATTGAATGAACGCGAGGACGGTGCCGATATTCAAGCGTATCTGCTGCAGAAGACCGGGCAACGAACCGTTCCGAATATCTTCATTAGTGGGTCTCTCGGTACCCACCGTCGGCTGTGCTCTAATCATGTTCCAAGACGAGAACCATGTTGGCGGTAACGATGACACACAGGCGGCATTCAAATCAGGAGAGTTGAAGCGTCTTATCGATGCATGATATATGCGTTGAATCCGATTGGGGTGTACAATGAAGGTTTTCGAACGGACGACTAAATGCGTCTTAATATCATCTGAGCGTCGCTCATGTCTGTGAGAGATTCGAAATAATTGTCGATCTCACGAGAGCAGAACGTTTCTGCATCTTCTGGAATCACACCGTTCGCGAAGTACTCGCTAATGAGCCGGATCGCGCATTGGGTCGTTGGTGCGAGATAAGAATGTCCTAGTACTATATCAGATTGAGCCCGGATATGGAAGTAAGTGTATTCACCCGGCACGTCTTGAAGTACAAGACGGCTCGAAGCTCCCATCGTGTTCTGCACGATCTTCGCACTTGAGTATGGAGTGATTGGATCGTCTGTTATCTCGAGAATAAGCTCGTGTGTGACATGCATAAGCGACACTCACGCGTATTGGCGAGCAACAGTGCGGGTGTCGTCAAGGTTTTCTGGACGGTGCCAGTCGAGTCAAAAATGGGAAATGATGCAAGCATTGACTGACATTAAACGGTCCCTAGAACTAGTCAGTATGGCCCTAGATATCCCATGCACTTGACATTACCCTGTAGCGTGTAGGTCCTACACCAGTCCCTGCCCAGTACTGACAACCTCCGTGCTGTTCCATGAGATGGACTCTGGAGAGAGTTGTCAATCGGAATGTGAAGTACCGGAGCCACTTACGTGCCGCCGAACCGAGGCCAAGTTTCCATCGTCACGAGGACGTTGTCGACAATCTCTTCTGCTGTAGGCCAGGTTTTGTTTCCTCCTGGATAGGGCAACGCGTCTCCACATGACAAAATCAATCGCCACAAATCGCCTTGGCCTGTCTCGATGTATCCTTCCTGGTCCGGCTCAGGACTCGGAGGAGAGTACGGAGGAGCTACGAGGAGTAGCAGCTGAGAAGCATCGGAATCGTACATGGCACTCGCGAGCATTTCCGCATACAGAGCCCATAGGCTGGGTATTTGGAGTGCTGTGAAGAGCGAACCTGAGAAGAGATGTTGATAAGCAAGTGCAAGGGTGCCAATTACAGAATGCCGACTTCGAATATGGCCTGAGGTCAAGGAAAGCACGCGATCGTAGTTGACCACTGGCATGGGATCTTCTTGCAAACGGTCTAAGAATTGGTCGATGCGGTCCCCGATGTCGCTTGGTCCTCCATCTGCGGACAATACCAACGAACAACGCTGCGGTCCTGCAACAAAACACTCGGAGAGGAAATACTGATATGTTTTCCTGCGCGATGTAGGTAAAAGAACTTCCTTGCGGAAAGTCACCTACTCGGAGTCCCCCAGTAAGACACGCAAAAGAGTTTGCGATTCATAATGGTCGTTCGCCCACCTGGGCAAACTTCAGTGGCTGTTCGAGCTTCGTAGTGGAAGATAACGTACATGTCGGCAGGTACAACACCGTCAATGAGAACCTTGCCCGTTTTGTGAGGGAGCATGTTTGCGAGGTAGGCTCCGACGATAGACCCTTGGGGATGGATCAATCCCGCACGAAAGGACGGCACGACAGCGAACATACCGTAAGACTGGAAGAATCAGGCAAAGAAGCAACTTTCAAGATCGAGACTTCCACCTCCCCACTATTCGACTCTGAGTCAGTCACAGCAGGTTCGAAGTGTGAGACACTTGCAAAGTTGATCAAGGCGTTCTCTCCCTCCAGTATCCGGGATATTTCTTCCATGTCGTACACGGTTGTCGTCGTACTCATGAATCCCAGTGCTTCTCCACCGATGGCGTTTTCGCACATGAGCCCTTGGGTCCGCTCCAGAGCAAGAGCGGCTCTCTGCTGCTCAATCAATATCGCACGACCCTCTGGAGAGAAAGGGTCCTCGGGGATGAGGAAGGTCGTCTCAAGAACAGTGTTGGCTTTGAACGTCTCATAGCCCAAAGCTGAGCCAAAACAGTTCAGTTTAGGGAGAGAGTGGCCGTGTCCTCGCTGATCAAACGAGATGATATCATAACGGTTTCCAGTCAGCTCTTGAAGCCTGGGTCCCAATTGGAAGGAAGAAGCTCTCCCTGAGACCCCCGGGCCACCGTACTAAGAATAAAAATAAGAGAATGGCGGAGTGGAGTATGCATGCGACAAACATTGGTCATGACAATACCCAGTCTTTCGGAAGGCGGGCAGGAGGTCGGGTACTTTGTCACGGCGAGAATGTGGCTTCCAGCCTCGCGATTCTCATAGTCAGTCGGAACTCTACTGAACAGTTTATCGATCTTCACAGTTGCACGATCGAACACGCACTCCAGGTATCCACAAAAGAAGGCCGCATTCTCTTTGCACCGCGTCCAAGCAATTGGTCCCTCGTCCTATGAACACGAGTTTACCTGATCAACTCTCGGATGGATCCAGGTCATACTTTGGGGAAGCTCAGATGCGGTGAATCTAAGCAAATGAGAGTCCAAGAGACAATCCCAACAGCAGCAATGAATAGAAGCAGGGACTGCGTCCGCGTTGGAAGCATCGTTCCAGTGTGGTACAGTGGAGATAGTATTGGTGACTTGGTGTACTGAAAAGTCTTGACTTGGGAGTCGCGTCAAATCCCAAATGCAGTGGACAGGACGGCGCTGGATGACCGTGACTGATGAGTATGTAGATTCGCTGCGCAGATCTTCGCTTAGTAGCGACGATTCACTGAGCGGCAAAGGCCGTAATCAACTTGGAAACTGTGATCATGAACAACCACAACAATCACAAACGCCTATTATGGACTCAGTGCCGCCGCTCATGGCGACGAACACGCGGGATCGGATAGTCAAGACGGTACGTGCGACAGCGATCCTGCAATCCGTCCCCTGCGTAGGACACATCTGACGACCGCAGCCAGGTCCCAGAACCCGCTACACAACGTCTTTCCGACGCCGAGTTCTTTGCACACGATGAATTCGGTGGCACGAAACCGAACGCACGCGTTCTGCGGGACCATTTCTTCCGGGAGGGTCGATTAACGGAAGATCATGCGCTATACATCCTCGAGCACGCGACAACACTGCTCCGCAAAGAGCCGAACATGGTGGAGGTGCAGGGTCCGGTTACGATTTGCGGAGATATCCATGGGCAATATGTACGCCTGCATTCATCTTGATCTTCGATCTTCTGTCATTCATTCACTCCAGTATGATCTCATGAAACTTTTCGATGTGGGCGGTCCACTCACGGACAACTCTTACATCTTCCTCGGCGACTATGTGGACAGAGGGTCCTTCGGGATCGAATGTTTGCTATACCTATATACCCTCAAACTCTGGTTCCCTCACAAATTCACTCTCCTCCGCGGCAATCACGAATGCCGTCAACTGACCGAGTACTTCACGTTCAAGCGCGAATGCTTGCACAAGTACTCTGAGCGCGTGTACGACGCCTGCGTTGCCTCTTTTTGCGCCCTACCCATAACAGCGCTAGTTGATGGGCGGTTCTTCTGTGTGCACGGAGGTCTCTCCCCCGAACTCGGCCTGTTGTCCGACATCGCCAACGTGAATCGTTTCTCAGAGCCGGGATCGCGGGGACTGCTGTGTGACCTGCTGTGGAGCGATCCTATAGCCAATTTCGGACACGAAGACCCGCGAGAGGTACCTCCTGGCACCACCTTCACGCATAATGCGACACGGGGTTGCTCTTACTTCTTCACATACGAAGCTGCCTGCCAATTCTTGGAGCGAAATGGGTTGTTGGGCATTATCAGAGGTCACGAAGCACAGGATGCAGGGTGGGTCGCTGTTTAATTTCCATTCGCTGATGAGAGCTGAACAACTGGTAGCTATACTATGCATCGCAAGACACCGACAAAGAAATTTCCCTCTGTCATCACTGTGTTCTCTGCTCCGAACTACCTGGACGTGTATCACAACCGGGGCGCCATACTAAAATACGCCAACAAGAACTTGACTATCCGGCAGTACAACTCATCTCCCCATCCATACTGGTTGCCGAATTTCCAAAATGCTTTCACATGGAGTCTTCCATTCGTCGGTGCCAAAAGTCGGTTTCCCTGTGCTAATACGCGAGTGCTGTCTGATCTTTACTAGTTACGGAAATGCTGTTGGCTGTCCTTTCTGTGTGCTCTGAAGAAGAGCTGGAGATGGAATCATCGGACGAGGAAGAAACTCCTGAGACGAATAACGACGAAGAAATGCGCACGGCGCGAACTCTCGGAATTAGCACGCCTGCCGAGGCTGCCCGACGACGACAAGAGATCAAGAACAAAATTATCGCTGTGGGTCGGATGCAAAGGGTGTTCCAACTACTTCGGTACGCGATTGTCCTGACATCACGTGGCCGCATTGATGGATTGCCTTCAGAGAGGAAGCCGAGTCTGCATCTGAGCTGGTCGATGCCGAGGCTGGCGAGGCTGGAGTGTTGGAGGGACTGAACGTGCAGGGAGTGGTCAGAAACAATATCCATAACTTTGAAGACGCGTCAGTTTCATTCACTCCGAGTTTTGACGCATACTCACTCCTCGTAGTCGACGCTCAGATCTCCTAAACGAGCGTCTTCCCACATTCCCCTCTTTATCTTTGCCTGCTACGCCCATCGACCTCGTACCGAGCGGGCCACCCACGCCGACCGGACCCTCTCCTCTTGTACCGTCTATGCGGATACCAGGCAGAGACGAAGGGCTTAACATGGAGTTCCTTATCCGGCAGACCTTGCAGGACGGGTCCAGCGCAGGCGACGATATCGAGCGCCTGGCTGATCGGATCGCGTTTCGCAACAGGCGGCCTGGAGGTGCACTAAAGCGCAACGAGACAATATAATATCTATCTCCCTCGTCTCATATGGAGCTCCTTCATCATGTTGACTGGCTGTAGTGTATCTCGAGAAACGATATGTAATTGTATGTTGCTGATGACGTAATCAGAAAACCCCTTTGTTCTTGTCGTTTACTTCTCAAGACGCGCCACAGATGGATGTTGACACGGACAGCTCTGTAAAGACGCGTCTTCGGCTTGCGGAGGGCAGGAGCTCACACTGCCACAGAGCGGAGACGATTGGGTGCGAGTGACGAGTGAGGACGGGCATTCTTTTCTCGTGCGACGCAAAGTCGCCGAAGTCAGCGAGACGATGCGAGATATGCTGGATAGCTCTGGTACGTGCGGACATATCCTACTCCTTCCAGGCACAGCTCATCAGCATCCAGGTGAATACGCGGAAGCCAAGACGAAGACCTGTCCGGTCCAGCAGCGGTCTGTACCCTTTTCACGGCCATGTCCTTCAAGTGCCAATCGAGATTGTCCTCATACTAGAGCTGTGATCACGGAAAAGCTGCTGGAGTACATGGCATTCAAGGCACACTACGAACGCGCGGGTGCGAAGGAGGAGATTCCAGTGATGGAATTCACCGAACGTATACCGCCAGAGATTGTCCTGGAGCTGTGAGTCTTTGTTCTTCTGACGACGCCGCTGACCTGTTTGGGGAAACATAGCTTGCTGGCGGCTGACTATCAGAATAGTGAGTCTGAGTCTGCCCGTGTATCCTTCGTTGAACTCAACGATGACTCCCTCAGTGTAATCTTACGCTTTACGTCTCATGTATGTCTTCTTTGTATCTCGACCGGTCTCAATGCAGCGCGCGAAGACGCGTTTGCGGAACCAAGTTGGCTGAATCGCTTGCCGGTATCGCAGACTACCACTTGACACAGCAGGAGTCACGCTATGTAAGTAGTACGCGACGCTGTCTAATGCGCGTGACCGCAGTCATAACCAAACGCAGCCCGGACAACACTAGCTGCGCTCAGCTCAGAAAGATCGAGGAGCAGGTCACGTTCGCTACCGCGGCGATTGAGAATTCAGCCAGGGATACTGATAGCACTCACCTGATAGATCCTTCCTCTGCCGCCTGGCGAGGCTCAGAAAGCTCGTTGCGGCGAGTCAGGCCGAGATTCGAGTCTGCGATCTGATCGAGCCAGTTCGCGAGACGATATCCACCCTTGGCAAGCTGCAATTGGACCGTGGGCGCCACCGAGTTGTAATACGTGGCTGGAAACAGGTTGAGCACAGGAATGCTTTAATTGTCACCGAGGAGAAACGTACGGAAGAGGTCCCCTTTCTGGAGGGCAGCAACTCCGTTGGGCATGACCACGCTGCAGACAAAGGTGTTGGCATCGCTTGCCCACTTGGTAGCAGACCCAACCGCGTCGGTGATGTCGTCGCCCGCGATCCAGCTTGCAGCCTGAGACGCATACATCCCCGAGGTGATCGCCGTGGTGATGTTCGCAGCCCACGCCTTCGCCACGTTCAGGGACGAGCCGCCGGCGATCTGTTCGGGGATGAAGGTGTCCCAGTCGGCGTGCAGGTTGTCGTTGAAGCCTTGGAACACGACGTTGATGGTGTTCCCGCCGACATCCAAGTTCTCGTCGTGGAGCGGCTGGGTGATGTCACCGAGGAAGTGAACGAGGAACATCAGCGCCTGATTCACGTTCGTGGCCGACAGTCGCCCGTCTTGGACTCGTTGCGTGTAATTCTGAATGGCTGCCAAGACCTTGGTGATGCTGGCAGACACAGACGCGGATGTATGCCTACCTGAGATCGAGCAGCCAGCCTTAGTGCAATCGCGCGAGAAGTTCACATTGCAACTTGTCGGCGGGCTGTCCAGTGCATCGATGAAGTGGAACGGAGCAGCTACAAGCGTCGTCAAGGCAGAGTCTCAAGCAGAGAGGCTGTTCATACAGAAAGAGCCGGCGGTAGTGGCGCGGAAGGTATCCGCCCACGAAGCGATGTTGGCTAGGTAAGACGTCGAGGTATCGCCGAGCACGCCCTTGGCCCAGGTCGCGGTAGTACTCTTGACAAAGTTCTGAGCTATAAACGGTGCATGAGTGGTTGCATCGGGGAACACAGACACCACGACGCTCACCGACGTACGCGACAGTCGCGTGGCCGAGCACGCCCCACGCCTGGGCAGCCGATACGTAAACGCCGAGGAGGACAGCTGAGAGGAGGAGATTCATCTGGCGTCGCGGTGGGTGGACCGCTCAGGAAGAGTGCCCTTTTGAGTGTATCTCACTGCTCGAAATAGGACTTTCTAAGAGTAGCAGGGACGAGAAGAAGATTGCTCCGCGTGCAACACGCCCTCGTGCGATAGCAATTCATCGAACCTTTGGTGATGGTTCACAGCAAGATGAAGAGGTAAACCTGATTGAGTATGTTGACAGCCACGTTTGTCAATGATTACAGACGTCCAAATACATTCTTGTACATTCTAACCGTGACAATCCGAGTACACTTCTAGTGCTCGTGGTCGCTGCATCCATAGCCAAACGCAGCGCGAACAGCAGTGGGGGGACCCATCATGGACAGGTCGAGGAGGAGATCCCGTTCGCTTTGTGCATATCAGTATTCTGGGCTTCACAGTGATCGATGAATGTCTTACCTGCGATCTTGGTCGGGATTCCGGGGCTCAGAGAGGTCGTTGCGGCTCACGAGGCCGAGTTGCGCGTCGGCGATCTGGTCCAGCCAGTTCGCGAGACGGTATCCCGCCTTGGCGATTTGAAGCTGGATGGTGGGGAGCACAGAGTTGTAGTAGGTCGCTGGAGGGGTGTTTAGGAAAGCGACACGATTGAGGGAGGAAGCACTTGCGGTAGAGATCGCCGGTTTGGAGGGCGGCGACACCGTCGGGCATGACGGTGGAACAGACAAACGTGTTAGCGTCAGTAGCCCATCTGGTCGCACTGGCCACGGCACTGCTGATGCTGTCGCCCTTGATCCAGCTGGCGGCTTGGGAAGCATAAGCCCCGCTCTTGATGGCTGTGGTCAATGTAGTTGCCCACTTCCTCGAGTACGTGATGGTCGTGCCGCCGATGTACTTTTGAGGAATGTATCTATTGAAGACGTTTCAGGCAGTTCTGGAGGTGATCAACAGAGCGTACGCACGTATCCCAGTCCGCATGCAAGTTGTCACTCGCGAATCCATCGAATGTCACTTTGATTGTGTTTCCTCCCACGTCCAACGCCTCGTCGTGAAGGGGCTGGGTGATGTCCCCGATGAAATGGACGAGGAACATGAGCGCCTGGTTTACATTCGTCGCACTGAGTCGTCCATCTTGGATTCGCTATGAGCACGTCAGCATGCTTTCGCATGGCTTGTGCAACGAGTCGTACCGATGTGTAGTTCGCGATCGCTGGTTGTATACATTAGGCTCGTTCACAAGATCAAGGGTGGGCCGCCACTCACCAGAAATGGAGCACCCTGCAGCCGTGCAGTCACGCGCGTAGTTGACGTTGCAGGTCTTGGGCGGGCTGTCCTGGGCATCGATGAAGTGATACGGCGCAGCTACATACTTGAGTACCACTGTATCGCACGCATGCATTTGGACGTACAGAATTTGCCGGCAGTGGTCGCGCGATAGCTATCTGCCCAGGAAGCAATGCTGGCAAGGTAAGAGCTTGACGTGTCTCCAAGAATACCTTGGGAAGGAGTCAAAATATTGCCCCGACGATGACGATTGCACGGACCCTGAGCCCAAGTGGCGGTTGTGGGCTTCACAAAGTCCTGAGCGACATACGCAACAGTGGCGTGCCCGACCAAACCCCAAGCCTAGTAGATGAACAAGCTCAATGTTGGCCAGTCGCGACGAAATCAGGAGACAAACGAGAGCTGAGTGGGCGGAGCCGAGTCCTAGGATCGTCAAAGTGATCAGGGAGTACATTTCTGTGTCTGCACGTCCCACGGTTTGCTACCTGCGACCTTTTTGTATCCGTCTAGCCAAGACATTGCGCATGCGGGGGTCCCGTATCGTGTTGTGGGTTACCCGGCAGATAACTGCAGAGATAGTAGCTGCCTCCGCTATGGGATATCGCTGATAGATAGAAACCGCTGAGATACATGCGCGGTGGCAGGGCCCACCCATGTGGGACACGCCAAAAGAAGCAGACGACATCGTGCAAGAAGGTCAGCCCGTGCATGGTATGCCGTAGGCGTCAGCTCGATGCCATCAGCACCGGTCATTTCAGATGACCATGCTCACGAACGTTGTGGCCAACTCTAATACTGATAGGATCGTCGCGCTTCTAGCGGATGAAGTTGCGTGCAAGTGCATGGAATCGTGCTGTACGATCACCAGCTGACTCTTTTGATCGTGATCGGCCTCCGGTCCACAATACACTGCCACAGATGTCATAGCACTGCCACGCGAACTCGGTCTGATGACATCATCACTGGTTCTAAAATCTCACCTTGTGTAGAATATTCGGTTGCCCTGCTTTCTCGCACTTGCTCTCTTAATTTGTAGAGATGACGAAACTGAAAATTTGAAATTTTTCGCAACCTTTAATTTTGCAGCTTTGTGCTATGTAACAATCACTTCAAACGATATTCAACGAGACATTGCGGGTCTCTAAGAACGGGAACGGGCCGGCCTAGACAAAGAGTCAGAGGAATGAGAATCAAGTCGATGCAAAAACTCACTCCAATCAACGTGACGTGCGCGACGTTGAGCTGCGCCGGGCCCTTGGCCAGGTTCGCCGGAATGGTGACCGTCAGGTTTTGATACGGAGGCTTGCTGGGTGTCACATTGGTGTGGAACATGGGGTTGTAGCCGCCGTTGTACAGGACAGTTCCCAGGACGTCAGCGGGCGACGGACAAGGGCTGCCTACGCAAGAGCGGACGGCGATCACAACTGCCACCTCCGTTGAACCGGTGATGGTGTCCTGCGCCGATTATTGTTTAGCAGAGCCACGACGGGGTGCTATGAGGCACTTACCGGGCGGTCGACTTCCACCACGAGCGCTGATCCTGCCTTGACCGTGGCGCCATCCGCGGGCGCACCGATTTCGATGCTCTGGCCGAAGACAGCGGTGGCTGCAAAGAGGAAAGCGAGAGCGGAAATCTTCATGTTGTTGTTCAGTGAGTCTGACGAACTGGTTTTTGGGGGAGAGTCTATATACTCTCCAGCACTCGGGATTACCTAATATGGTGTCTCATTAATTTCCCTGCTTAACTGCGCTTGTCACGCACGTTAGGAAGTCATATGTGCACTGTGCGGCGAGGGATGCCCGTCGAGACTTGTGAGAATGCACGGCATTGGCTGAAAGCTCCTCGCTTGCCTGTAGTGAAACGGTGAACGCTGGAGCCCAGGCGGAGAACGCATTGGTCGTAGACCCTATCCCCGACCAACGCATGGGTCAGATAAGGCCCTCGGACACTTGCGGTAAGCTAGCTCCGTCCGCCAAGCCACTTTTACGCTATAATTTTTTCGATTTTGGGTGACTTTTACTCTATTTTCTGAGCGTAAATCCAATTTTTTTCCTATGCTACTGGTGGCTATGGCTATGGCTTGGACACTTTCCCCCGACCTCGAGATGTCTTAGAACGCTCACTAGGCTTCGCGGCGGCGCGTTTTCGAGACCGTGAGGACACTGATACCTTACGCTTCTTCGTCCCACTCATGGGTTCATCTGGCTCCGTGTCGTCCTCTTCGGAAGCCTCAGGCTCCTTTGCTTTTCTTGATGGCCCAAGATGAGTCTAGATGAGCTAAGATGACCGTCAAAATTGCCCCCATACCAGTCGGTTCTTTCCAACTCTTACGCTATTTTCGGACCATGAACGGACATTTTGGCCGACTTTTACGCTATATTATATAGGGGAAAAAACAAATTTTGCGCTCAAATTTACTCTATTTTGGACCTTGCTACCCCCAAGTGTCCGAGGGCCTGTCAGATATCTCGGGATTTCCTCGAATATTTGCGTCCATGGACCGCGGACCGGGGAAGTGGAGCGCTTCAACGTCCAGCCGGCCACCAGGCCCCACAGCGGGGAACTCGCGAAGCGCGGGCAAGACGCAAATAGAACAATAGCCCATGATTTCCGTCAGAAATCCAGGTACTGGCTCTCACACTCCACCGTCGTGGACTGGAGTCCTTATGACAGCACACCGCTTCCTGATCATGTGATCGTGTTCATCATGAAAACGCGTCACTGGGGGTCCCGGACCGCATCGGTATATCTCGTGACCGTGCAATCCTCGTGCAAGCTCATGTGAAACAAACGACGCACGTGGCAATTCAATTGCTTCCAAGCAACTGCTTTGACCCGACTTTCCATCGGTGTTCATCGTCGCAAAACGTGATTGAAACTGTGGAAGCTGCGATCCCGAAGGATTTAGTGTGGCGCATCGGACCTCGTGAGTAGAGCGCAGAGGCTGGATTTCATGACGGCTGCACTGTTTGGTATAGTTACTGGACGGTGAGCATTTTGTCTTTGGGTCTAGGCGTTCGCCACTTTTTCCTTGAGAGTACATCCATCTCAGTCTGAAATCCAGTCAGCATCTTCCCACCTGACTACCGGCCACCCTGAGGTAAAATCCGCATTCACGATTCCCATCTTGTAGCGCCCTCGAGGTGACAACCCACGGCGTTGCTGGGCTCTTTATGGGAGCCCGGTCGGGAGGTTCTCGAAAGCTGACACCTCCTCGACATCGTATGGCCTGTCGCAGTCCCTATAACCGACGCAGCTCGTAATCCTCGGCATTTCACGGGCCCGACCGATTTGACGCCCATCCTCAATGCCGGAAACCACCTACCCGATCGGCTGCACGGGAATGTGCTCTGGCGGAGAGAGGCAGCTTCAAGCGGAACTGCAGTGCATACCTGAGCACGCACAAATACCTACGCGCGAAGCTTTCTCTTTGAATTCCATGCAGCATTCTTCGGAAGACGCGAATCGTCCAACGGAGGATGTTGCGAGCCGATCTAGGCGTCCGGTGATGCTTCACGCTCACGCGGACAGGGCGACGAGTGCAGCCGAAGTCATGGTCTTCGGGGTTAAGCACACGCAACGTGAGCCGTGATTGGCGGTCACAAGACAACGAACGGGATTGGATACTGGCCTGAGGCCCGGAGGCTCATGCGTTGGATGCATGGATCCAGTTTCATATCACAGATGCTGTCCAGCGCTCCTTTTCCATTCCCCGTCGTAATCGTAATCCCTGGATCGTATCAACACTGTTTCCAAGTGCGACACGCACGCAGTGCCCGGTAGTCAGACGCAACAGAGGTCCGCAATTTGTGAAACAGTGGTAGATAATGTCGTGTATTGCCGGTATTGCATCCGAGACGATAACTGGTCCTGGCCAGTGGCCAATTTGTGATGGGCGCAGGCGGACTTGCTCGTTTACGCGAAACTTGAGTTGTCGTGCCATCATCATCACTTGATTCGGCGTGGCCGGCCACCATCTAAAAAAAGATGGGTTAGCTATGGAGGCCGGGAACTATATGCTGATAAACGGAGGACGTATCACTGATACGCGATAGTTTGCCGACATAGGATCAATTTCATGATGCGCTCCATGTCATGATGCGCTCTATCTGGACGGCTGAAAACGTTATACTAATGACCGATGTCTGAATCGTGGATGGCCGCTCGGCAGATATTGATCAGATGATTGACGCAATGATCAAGACCCCAGGTAGCCGACTATCGCAATATCGCAACATCGTAATATTCGAAAAGCGCAACATTCAAGATAGTGTAATATTCGAGATAGCGTAGTGAGCATGTAATTACTGTAATTCACTAATCATTTTCGCGGGAGTCTTCCTCATCCGAGAACCATGCGTACAGATCAGGACCAACAGCTTGCCGCAGCTGATTGATACGACACGCACCCGAGCGATCCGTTGGCCGAGAAGCCCTCTAGCAGCGGCGACTTGACACTCAAGTTGGTTTCCAGCATGTACCCCCACTCGCGCTCGATCAGATCAATTGCCCGCTCGCCCTTGCCGGCCACAAAATGCGCTTGGATCTGTCGCGCAGGTGACACGCAAACCACAAACCACCAGCGCAACACGCACCTCGAAGCCACGGCCTGATGGGCGTCCAGAACTTCATCAGCCCGGCGCTCACGGCCTTGTTCTGTGCGTCCGATGTCGTGAGGTTGTACAGGACCGCGAGCGCGTTGCCGTCCTGCGGGTGGATGCTCCTCGGCAGGTCGTTGCTGCGGAACCGGCCCGCCGCGGCGTCCCACAGCAGGCTGTTGAACGCAGTTTTGATCTTGGTCGCGTTGGCGAGGTATGTGGCGGGGAGGGAGACATTGCCGAGATGCGTCGCCAGGTCCGCCGTGGTGACGAGCGTCTACGAGCTTGATGAGCGCGGATACATGATGCGAGAGACAGAAATCAATCCTCACGCGATAAAGCAACGCGTTTGCCGCAGAGTTGTGTCCGGCGCCGCTGGCCCTGCCCCAGTCGTTCGAGAGCGCAGACGAGACGTTCATCAGGCCGGTCAAGTCCACCTGGCCCTCAAGGAAGCCAACCGCCTTGGTGTAGTTCGCCCAGACAGACTTGATGAAATCGAGGTCGCCCGTGTACAGGAAGTAGTTGTGCGTCCCAATGAGCGACCACGAGATGTACGTGTCGCTTCCCTGGTTGTTCAGCGGCGGCCCGGAGTACTGCAGCGCGCCAGTCGTCAGGTTTTGCGTGCGGAACATCACCATCAACGAGTTCTTGGTCGGCTCCATGTCGCTCAGCGCGACGAGCTCCGTGTGTGTGGAGATGCCGCAGTCGCCTGATCCGTCGCATGAGTCCGAGGGTTAGATCGCGTCCATGAGCATGAGGGGTTACCTGGCCAGATGTTCCTGACAGTACCAATGTCATCAGCAGGGATTGCACACACAGATCGCGACCGACCATTCCTCACCTGTCGCGTTTTGCACCATCGACGAGGATAGGCCCAGTGGCAGCTCCTCCCAAGGCATCGTTGGACCAGCCACCTACAAATGTGATCGCACAGTTTGAGTCCAAAATTCAGATCCACGCCGACACGAACCTCCTGCTGGGCACGGCTCCTGTCGCGCCGTGTGGGGAGGGATTGTGTTGGTCTGCACCCTATAGTGCCTGCTAGCGGTCAGCCCCCACCCACGCCACGCTCTGCCACATCAGCCAGCAAACAGGCGATGACGCACCGGCGTACCAGATCTTCGTGAGGAAGTCGATGTCGTGGAACCCGGGGTCAGGTGCAAAGAAGTAGCCCGGGTACGCCCTGAGATCATCCCAGTGGGGCATGAACGTGATCGCCAGCGAGATGTTCGAGATCGTCAGCGGGTCCGCGCTCGCACTCACAATCGTCAGGAAGCGGAACCCGCCGCGCTGCTGTCCCACGGTCTGCGTCAGCAGCCCCGTGGCTCGCGGCACGTGGAACGTCTGGATTCTGTCCCAGTTCTGCAGCCGTGCGGGCTGGCACGAGTCGTCCAACTTGAGCGGGCTGATGAACTCCGCGGACTCGGTGAACGACAGTGAGAACTGCGACTGGGCCGTCGCGTTGTTGATCGTCAGCGACAGGATCCCCCCAAGCTACAGTATGGGTGTGTGAATTGACCCTCGACGGCGCTGTATCAGGGAGGCCGCGCACCTCCTTCCCCAGTCGAACACGACGTACGAACCGCTGCCCTGGAATGTCGCCTGGGAGTCCGGACTTGCGACGAGCCTGCTCGCGCCGGCGACCCGGCCGCTGATCCTATCTCGAATGTTGCGCTTTTCGAATATTACGATGTTGCGATATTGCGATAGTCGGCTACCTGGGGTCTTGATCATTGCGTCAATCATCTGATCAATATCTGCCGAGCGGCCATCCACGATTCAGACATCGGTTATTAGTATAACGTTTTCAGCCGTCCAGATAGGCGCATCATGACATGGAGCGCATCATGAAATTGATCCTATGTCGGCAAACTATCGCGTATCAGTGATACGTCCTCCGTTTATCAGCATATAGTTCCCGGCCTCCATAGTTAGCAGTGATTACGGTTACCTGATTGCATGCTTCGACGCCACAAGCTACCTGGAGGCTTTATAACTGAGGGGTCTCCGGCACCCGATGCTTTCTTCGGGCCTCTCCTCCTTTCGTTCTTTCTTTTCTTCGGTCTCCTCGCTTTCGCGCTCACACGACGAGGACTGGTTCCTTTGACGCTCTTTTTACACATTAAAACTTCCCTCACTCTCGTTTAATCATGTTCGCCGGAAACAAGTCTCTTCTCGTCTCGCTGCTGGCAGTAGTTGCGCAGGTGTCGGCCCATGCGATGGTCAAGTGCGCAGTGCACTCTATTCTCATGCCTTTTAGCTAATGCACCAGCTAGGCCCGCCCTAGGAGTCGCCGCCCCTCAGCGCAGCGACGTCCAACGGCCTTCCACCGCCAAGCCTTGCGGAAACATCGCGATTGCCTCCAACCTCGACAAGTCCACCACCACTTCCGTCGCCGGCGACGGGACTGTGACTCTTCAAATTCAGAACTGTGAGTCCGTCCCGCACGCGATCGGATTCCGAAGCTGACCACGCGCCAGTTAACGCGTAAAATTGCCTCGCTCTCGTGTCGCAACGCGTGACTGACTGATCCGTTACAGGGGAAGCGACGGCGCTACCGCGTTGTCCTCCGTTCTCGTGGATGCTACCGGTACCGGAAACAAGTTTGTTGCCGGTTCGATCAAGCAGAATGGAAACCCGGTCAGTCATAGCACGCAGGGGCCATATCTCATGTCACTCACGCGATCGCATTACAGAAACCAGCCAAGACCGAGACGGACAGTGTTGTCATTGCGTGTGTTATGGAGCTGTACTTTCACTGCATTGGTTCTGACGTTCTGCAGTCTCCCGGCGGGTACCAAGTGCACTGGTGGCGCGGGAAAGAACTTGTGTCTTGTGGTGCGCAGGATTTCTTTATGATCACGACCCCGTCTTGAAGTCGCGCAGTCCGTCAAGACCAACGCCGGGTTCGGCGGCTGCACCGTTGTCTCCCAGGGAAGCGCTGCTGCTGCTGCACCCAACAACAATGCCGCTGTCCAGAAAGCCGCTGCGCCCCCCGCCAAGACGTCCACCGTCGCCAAGGCCCAGTACAACCAGGCCGCACCAACGACTGCGAAGGCCGCTGCGAAGGCCGGCCACACCGTCGTCGTCACGGACATCGTGCACAAGACGAAGACCGTGGACGAGAAGGTGACCAAGACGGTGAACGAGAAGACCACCAAGGTCGTCAGCAGCACTTCGACCAAGGCCGCTGCCTACTCGAAGAGCACGCAGAAGAGTAACAAGGACACCAGCAGCAAAGCTGTCGCCGCGAAGAACAAGTCCTCCGCCGGAAGCAAGTACCGGAAAGGTGGAAAGAAGAACAGCATGGGGAGCAAGGAGGCTGACAAGAAGAGCTCGCACAAAACCATGGACAAGGGCAGCAAGAGCAAGAGCAACATGAGCTCCGACAACAAGAGCAAAAGCGGCATGAGCTCCGACAACAAGAGCAAAAGCGGCATGAGCTCCGACAACAAGAACAAGAGCGGCATGAGCTCCGACAACAAGAGCAAAAGCGGCATGAGCTCCGACAACAAGAGCAAAAGCGGCATGAGCTCCGACAACAAGAACAAGAGCGGCATGAGCTCCGACAACAAGAACAAGAGCAGCATGAGCTCCGACAACAAGAGCAAAAGCGGCATGAGCTCCGAGAAGAACAAGAGCAGCATGAGCTCTGAGAAGAACAAGAGCAGCATGGGCTCCGACAACAAGAGCAAAAGCAGTATGAGCTCTGACAAGAGCAAAAGCGGCATGAGCTCCGACAAGAACAAGAGCAGCATGAGCTCCGACAACAAGAGCAAAAGCAGCATGAGCTCCGACAACAAGAGCAAGAGCAGCATGAGCAAAGGGAGCAGCAGCAGCAGCATGAGTGAAAAGAGTAAGAGCGGAGGCCAGGAAAGCCAGAACAGTGCAAGCCACATGGGTGAGAGTATCCGTTTCCAAACAGAATCCTGGTTTATTAAACATTCTGCAGGGCGCGACGTCGAGGACGAAGCTGATTTCTCCGAGATCTCCGACTCGGATCTCGAGTAGATACCGAATGCGAGTGTCACTACACCGCAGACCCGGTCTGACGCCCGAATGATGTTGGTCACCAACACCGTTTGACATTTGTTAATGATGTGAGGTAGACATCTTAATGGTGATCAGAATCAAGTCGAACAGCTAATCACTCCGTTGTATCTCTGACCAGGATGTATTTCTTACATCCAATACAAATATCAGCTTTATGTATGTAGAAACATACTATTCTATTCAGTGATGATCTTGATCTTGTTTCTTGGATATGTACATGGCCCTCAGGCAAGATGTCAATGCAACAGATGATTTCGACTTCAATATGAGATTTGGATCATATTTCTTGGTACACAATGACTATCAACTAAGTACTCGACCCAGAAGCAACACCAAACTCAGAGGGTACCAGGCTTGCACCTCGGGATGAAGGACGTGTCCCATTCTCCTCCTCCTCCTCCTCCTCCTCCTCAAGTTCCTGGCGCTTGCGTTTCTTCTGGCCTCGGCTGAAGCACTGGACTTTGGCTGCCTGTGCCGAGAGAGTGATCAGCCAAGCGGGACACTCCTTCGCTAACGCCGATGTGCCAATTTTGCATTTGGTGGTCACAGGATCTCCATACTTCTCGATGTCGTCTTCATAAGCTTCTTCGAGAGCTCTGGGGCCGACGCAGAAGAGTCAGACTCAATTAGCTAAGAACTGTAAGACGCAACTCACGCAACAAAGTCCATATCCCCGATGTCTCGCAACTGATTCATCTCGCTATCGAGTATGTCCCAGTGCTGCTTCACGGGATGATTCTGTTCCACGTGGTAGCGCTAAAGAGGCGGATACATCAATGAGGGGGACAGCGGGCTGAGCAAAAAAGACTTACCAGATATGCCATCCGCATGAATGTGAATCGCGTTGCACAGACAGATGGGTCAGCATGTTTCAGAATTCTCTCGCAGAGATGAGCAATGTTCCTCATCTCCTTGTTCTTGAGTTTGATCGATTTCAAAATCTGTAGAACGGTCAGGAGCTGCAACAAGCAGAGACAGTCAATACCTCCCTCAGCCTTGAGAGCAGAGCGGATCACACTGACTGCGCGACCCAACCAAGTCACAAAGAGACCATATTCCTCTGAATCAACACCCGGGACACGCTTAACTTTCATGAGAGTCAATGTCGTCTTAAGTAGAGTAGTCAGTGGTGCTCAAGAGCGGTCACAAGCCTCACCAGAATCGCCGTTTCGATGGTTCCACCATAATACGTGAGATTCGGGAGACAGAGAATAGACCACACGTATTTCCGACAGATCTTCTAAAAAAAATGTCAGTAAGACATGAAGGCGATGTGAAACTTGCATGCAGCTCACAGCCAGTGACGTCTCCGGAGCCCATTCACCTTCGTGACTCCTGGCCGTATCAACTAAGCCGCGAACCATATCCTTTGTCTGAAGGAGATGCATGAACGCGATGGTGTCACGTTCGTCCTTGTTCGAGGTCTGAGAGACTGTCAGCGCAAGAAGTTTCCATTGATGTGAACTTCACCTCGAAGTATCGTCTAAACTCTGCTTCACTGTCGGCAGAGAGGCTGGCATCTTTGGCAAGACGTTCTCCGAAGCTCTTCACGCTTGAAAGTGGGAAGCGTGGCTGAGTCAGAGGAGGAAAGTCGGGAGTGCTGTTGTCACGGTTGAGTCGAGGTGGAAAGTTCTCAGGCGGAGCAAGTGGAGAACTCGGCACAGGCGTCAAATGTCTGCTACCCTGCTGCGAAGCTGCACGGGCAGCTTCTGCGCGACGCGAAGCCCTTTGAATCAGTGACTCCGCCATGAAAGCAAAGGGAGAGAAAAGGCGATGTCGAATTAATGTGTCAACAAACAAAAACTGCACGGCTGTGTTAAGTTCGAAAGATTCTCACCTCGAGAACAGACCTTACCAGAAGTGGGTATTCTAAAACCCATATAGACTATTGCACAGAACTGGAAATGGCACCGACGCGCTGGGAGCCGCCATCGGGTATTATCATCGGCTGTGCGCAAGAGAAGGTCAGAGCTGACTGCCACTTTAGAACTGAGGCCGCACCTGGAATACTCTCCAAAGAGGACTCATGTTAGATGCCTTCCCTGTCTTGAAGAGCGGAAGTCGGGAACTGGACGGTTCATAGACCGCAGAAATCTGAAGGCGCATTTGGAAACAAGCACACATTCTGCAGCTTGGACAAACCATCAAGTGCGCGCTAAAAACCGAGAACCTGAAATCGCTTCTATTGACACCTCATACACTGCAGATGCTCTTCAGGACATCGTTGGGCTCGAGGACAATGTTGCTATGTTGGCTTCGACACGTCTTGGGATGTTCTCCGAGTCTTCCACGAACTTGAGCCCTGAACACCCAGATCCATCGTTGTTGGCGAGAGGCAGGGACGATTGGTCGGCTCCGGTGCCCTTGTTGATAAGCGAGTTGGGCCTTGGCTCGTCGGATTTGTGTGAGGCAGACACACCCGAAAAGCGCAGAGCGCTTCTTGCACACCAATTCCAGGAAATCCTCATGGATGCAACGAATGCCCAAACACCTCTTGACTTGCTGAGCGACGAGGATTTTTTGGGGGATGAGATCAACGAGATCATGGCTCGAGAACAAGGAGATGAAGACGATGACCTTTGCTTTGATTTTGATGCACGCGCTTCATCGGCATACAGGCCGTATCCGAACAAGGCCGTGAGTGGAGTGCTCAGTTTATTGGCACGCTGGAACTCATCTAAACGTCTCAGATGATGCTCCTTGATATTATGGACAACTTGCCGCGCTGCCGCTTTACAAGCCTTCAGCTCTCCCTCATAATACATTTTGCGAAACAGCTTGGGGCTCCGGATATCCCATCTCTGAAGAGCTTTCGTCAGTTCCAACAAGTTCTACAGGAAAAAACGGGCCACAAACCAGTTCGATGTGTATCTCAATTTGAGAATGTCTTTTACATGAACGATATCCGTGATGCCATTGCTCGGGATCTGGCCAACCCGTTGGTTGCGCCGCACCTGCATTTCTATCCGGAGGAGCCATCAGGTCCCATTTCTGAGGTGTATCAGGCCGAGCGATGGTTTGAATACACGGCATCACAGTTAACACCGATGTACAGTCGAGGTCACAAGCGGTGGTGGATCGAGGAACTGTCTCGGCTTTATGATGGAACTTTCGTGATTCCGCATACCTGGATTGTTCGCCAAGGAGTGCTTACCGCCGACGCATCCGTTGTCATACACAACCCCGATGGCAGCTGGACCATATCCTCCGAGGAGCGGACAATCCTGGCCGCTGACCTTGAGCTGGACTTCGGTGATATCACAGCCTTATTCGGTCAAGATTTTCAATGGACGGACGTGAGTACGGTTCAGGTGATGCCAAATGTGCAGCGCAAACTGGTGGATGAAGACGAAGACTTGTTTGTGGTCATGGTCTCACCCTGGGCCGACGATGTCTCCGGTAACCGATCGAAACAATACAATAAACACATGAATATGTATACAGGCAACGGTTGCCTCCCTGGTCGTCTCCTCCAGCAGGAATTCCACATGCATTTCCTCTCGAGTTCACCGCATGCTACTTCACCTGAGCAATTCTCCGCATTTCGAGACCAAGTGAAGGCCACCGAGACTGATCCCATCCGATGCTTCAATGCAGCGACTAAACGAAAAGCCCGTGTCATCCTTCGAGTTCCATCGTTGCCTGCGGACAACCCACAGCAGTCCGAAGAGTCTTCTCATATGGGAAGTAACGCGAACTTTCCATGTCGAAAGTGCCATTGGGGCGGGACAAAGATCGAGAAGGAATCTGATGAACTCTATCATCGGTGTCACTATCCGGGCATCATGCGAAACACAGCTGAGATACGCACTTGCCTTAGAAGACAGCTTGAGCTTGCAACTCGTGGGGACTCGAAACGAATTGAAGAGCTTCAGAGAACAACGGGGACAAAAGACAAGATTACACAACACTGGATTGGTGTACTGCTTGACAAGTTCAAGTTAATGAAATCAAACGTTCCCCGGCCAGGGGTGGAAGATATTGCTGTCAAATTGAATCAATGGCTGGACGAGCAACCCGGGGACAAAATGAACCCATTGCTTGATCTTCTTGGCCTTGATCCATCGCAGGATACACCCATCGAGCTGCTGCATACAGTCCTTCTCGGAATCATGAAATACATCTGGCACTTCATGAATACCAAAAAATGGTCCGATGAAGATCGACACTTACTTGCGATTCGACTCCAGTCCACAGACTTGAGCGGCCTCAGCGTTCCGCCCATCCGGGCAGCATACATGATACAGTACAAGAACAATCTTATCGGGAAACATTTCAAGACTTTGATGCAAACCCTTGCTTTCCACGTCCACGGCATCGCAACACCCGAGGAGTTTTCCCTCATGAAAGCAGCTGGGGACCTGGGTGCTCGTTTGTGGGTCCCGGAAATCGATGATATGACAACGTACCTGGCCGAAATTGAAGTTGCTGTTGCGAACATTCTTGATGCATTCGATGCTGTGGACCCATCACGGATTTTGGACAAGATCAAGATACATCTGTTGACTCACATAGCAGACGACATTCGACGCTTTGGGCCCCCCATCAGAAGCGCGACAGAGATCCAGGAGTCCTACAATGCCGTGTTTCGACTGTGCTCGGTTTACAGCAACCGTCAAGCACCGAGCCGAGACATCAGTACAAAGTTTGCTTCGATGGCGCGCATGAAACACTTACTGTGCGGGGGCCTCTGGTACAACGCTGACCGGGATCATTGGATTAATGCTGGAGATGCTGTTTGTCGGGTCCTTCAGGATGACGCTACATTCCAGCAGTTCCTGGGTTGGACCAAGCCAAAAGATGTTAGCCCAGGATCCATTTCGGCTATGCCGAAGAGGATTCCACTCCGAAAATGGACGACGACGCATGCATCAAGATACCAAGACTCAACCTTGTCTGCGAAACTGCCAAACGGAAGCACAGCAGAGATGTGGAAAGCGGGGCAAACCTTGACAGCGCAGAGTGGTGACGCGATCCAGAAGGGAGGCTGGGTTGTTGCATTGGATCCGCACGCCAAGGTTGTCTTTGGTCGGGTGATCGAGCTTCTCCACTCGCCAGTCGCAATCGTCACAATTGAGTGCTTTGTGATGGGTGAGAAGCGACATCCAGACTTCAAGTGGCCAGTCTTACGCCGTCCAACTGGCCAGGAGATAGTTGCAGGAGCGAAGAACTTCTGGGTCCTGGAGGGAAGTGCCGTTCAACTTGCGATTTCCGTTCAACATGACTGTCGAAGGGGGGGCTGCGAACCGAACATCGTTCGCAAGGAGAAGCAAGAACGTGAAGAGACGAACCAGATTACCAAGTTAATCCAGCACTCTGACGATGACCGCTTCATCCTCAATCTCTCCGCCTGTCATAACCATGTACAACTGTGCCGCATCCTGCCTCCAGAGATGACCATGCTTGAACCACTCCATCCGGATCGAAAAACGTTCCATACCCTGATGTCATCGCAAGCCCAATCGATCAAGACGAAAAAACGAAAAAGGACAGCCGAGAAACGACGAGCTACAGCGGCAGCCAAGCGCGAAGATGCAGATAGGGCGGAGGGAGAGGCAGGAAGGGCCGAGAAAGTAATCGATGAAGAGGCAGACGGGGCGGCAGATAGTGACCTAGAGGGTTCAGACGCTGGAGGATCGCCTGGGATGGAGACAGAAGAACTGGCATTTGTGTCTGTCGACTTGGATGAGCGACCGCGAAAATGGCGCAAGGCAGCCATGTGACTTGATGGATGGATGGATCACCGGATGTGATGTCTCCGCTGGATGTACATCTGATCAGTTGGGAAGATTTCTTGTGGATGTAATCCTATAGTTGAAAAATACGTCTAAGTCACTTTATCATATATACATGTGCAGAACATCGGTTGAATATCCGACGAAGATGTAATCTGGATGTAAATACTTCACATCACCCTAGCATCAGGCCGGGTTGGTGGTGTAGTCTTTGCACCAGGGAATTGGGAATTTTCATCGTTCAGCTCCACGATCAGTCACAGTCAGGTGGTGTGATAAATGTCACTAGATGGTCCGACTAGATATGGTCCGGTCCAAGTTCTAGACAACAACCGTGACAAAATGCCGAAGCTGGGAATCGTTCTCGATTGAATGGATATGCCGTCTTTTTCAGGAGCGGGCACGCAATCTTCACTCCATTCGGCGCTTGTGGCGAACACATTCACGGTTCTACTGTCAATTTAGCTGAAATTCGGCGCCTGTGTCTTTTTTATGCTACCCCTAACAGACGCTCGAACGCTCATCCTCTCTCTCTCCATTCCACCATATGCAAACCGAGAATCGTCCTTCTCACCCGCAGCTGCTGAATCCTACGATCTATGTCGGTCATTTTCCGGGATACGTCTCCGACGCACAGGTCTCTAGCATGTTCGAGTCCCAGGCATACACAGGCTGGGTGAGAATACGATCTCGAGCCAGCATGGGGAATCAAGAAGGATCGTTCCGTCTCCGGATCGACTTCGCCAATCTGTACGATGGTACGCCCTCATTTCACATCTCGTTCGTACATACCCACCATGAATGGGTCACTTTAGCCGAAAAAGCGCTCGCCTCGAACCACATCCGTCATATCCCAGGGCTGAAATCCCCCTTCTCGCTGCGGTGCTCGCTGTCCCCGCTTCTCCGCGCGCTGAAGCTGCCCGAAAACGATCTGACCGCCGCGCCGCGTCTCATCAGCATGCACACTCCGGGCATGAAAAGCACATTGTCGAAGATGTTCGATCTTCTGCGTGTGTATGGACCGATATACACCATCCGTATCGAACGAGCTATCGGATTGGCCTTGGTCCAGTTCTACACGGAAGAACATGCTATCGCAGCCAACGAGAAGGCCGGTCTGCCTCTACAGGTGTACGATCCGTGCATAATCTGTTGCTCAGTATGTGCAAAAAGCTGCATATTCGTCTATTGACGACTCTCTCCGAGCAGAGCAACGGCGAGCAATTGAATGAAGAAGCCTTGAAGACTTTTCTGCTGCAGGTGAGTGCACTTGCGTTCCTGGGCCCAGTACCTACCGGAACTTTCGGTCTTAGTTTGGTACGATCACAAAGGTCGAGACCGAGTGGGGGGACAGTACATTTGTCACCTTTGGTAGTCCCGCTAATGGCAAGTCCCATAAGCCCAGATCATTGTTGTCCCTCATTGCTCGGACAGCTCTCACGGCTCTACGCCAGGTGCATGGAAAGAGCGTCGCAGGAAAAGAAATCTCCGCGACGTATCGCACGGTCAAGCCCTCACATCCAGTGGCCGGCGTGCCTGATACCCAGCCACAGCAGCCAGCTGCGGGTGGTTGTTTTTGCCCTTCTGCAATCGATCTGGTCAACCTTCGCGCTCAATATGACGCACAACTCGAAGACAAGGATAAGCAAGCCAAAAAGTTGGCCGCCCAGCACGAAGCCGAAGTCGAAAAACTAGGGCAAGAACTCCGCGATGCGCAGCGGGCGCTCAGTTTGGCCGAGTCGCGGCTGAAGCTAATGGACATAGAGCGCGATCGGCCGCTCTGGGAAGCAGCGAAGAAAACGCGCGAAGGGAAGGCGCGCGCGGCTGCAGAAGCTGCCAAGGCCGAAGCCATTGCCCGGGCACGGGAGATCGAAGCGATGCGCCGCAAGATGGCGGAGATCGACGCGCAGGAGGCTGCGAGCCGAGCCGCCGAGGCGGACCGTCGCGAGCGCCTGCGGCAGCAGGCCGCTGCCGAGAAGCAACGCCGCGAGCAGGAGGAAGAACGCGAGCGCGAGCGGCTACGCGCGGAGGCAGCGCGCCAAGCACGCGAGGCTGAGGAGAAACGGCATCGCTGGGAAGCAGCGACCTCAGACGAGGTCCTTCGATGTCGGAATCGCGACCGCATCCGCTGGGGAGCAAATAATTGGACGCCCAGCCTCGCATTGCAGAGGCTGGAGTTCCAAATCGCCGAATTCGAGTCCATCAAGTTCTCGGAAGCGCAGCCTCTGACGTTCGAGGTCATTCCCTGGCCGGTTCTGCGCAATCGACGCCAGTTGGGCTTCGACGATGTCTCTTGGAAAGCAGCGGAGGATTTCTTCGCGTCGGCTAAGCGACTGTTAGCCCATTCCGAATACACATCGCTCGTCATCAAGGTCCACCGGACGTTTCATCCAGACAAATGGCCGGGAAAGCTGCTGACTGTGTTTGAGGATGGGCTCAGGACCCAGTTGAAGGACCATGTGAATATTGTGGCGCAGGCGATGACTCCCTTGTGGATAACATCCAAAGACTCTGGCTAGTGTGTGTAGCATGCCAGTCACCAATGATTTTTGATGGCGCATCACGTGTAATTGCGCACTCGCGCTACTCATCTGACACTACGATCGGATACGTGCCGTGGTCCCAGTCCCGAGTCCTGACTCCAAGTTCATGGCCCAGGAATCTGGCTCCCAGAACTGATGATTCAGCACTGGAGACACAAGGAACGCAAGCTTGAATGAACGACGAGCCAAAGTTCGAAAGGCTACGACATCATTCGTGCGCGGCAGGAGCTGCCGAGGTGCTTCTGCTCTTGACATACTCCAAGCCCGAAGCATTGAATTGCTGCACATGCAGGGCCCAGACTCTTCTGAGCTCCGTGAACGCCGCGCCAGCATTGTCCTTTGGTCCTGTGCAAACTGCCCCTTGACCTGGATCCGGTCTAAACCTGACGTCAAGGTTGAGCTTTCGAAGCAGGGGGCCGCCTGAAACGACTGGGTATCGCCGCAGCGCTTGCCGTCGGTGTCAGCTCGACGTCATCCTTACGGACTCCAGATCCGTTGGGTATAAAATGCATGAGATGAACGGGCGGTGAATCGTGCAGCCGACCCACAATGAAGCTCTTCTCCTTCCTTTCCCTCGCCCTTCTCTCCGTGTCCGGCGCTCTTGCCCAGAGCATCGAGATCGGCGCCCCGCTTGCCAAATCCAAGCTCGAATCCGGCTGCAACTTCACCGTTGAGGTGGACCGACCGGTGCGCACCTCCGTTTCGGTCCCTGTCATATGCACTTCGACTCATATTGCTAGGACACACTCACTGGCTCAACGGAGGTCGCCATCGCCATCGCCCTGAAATCCAACACCGCGCCGTACGGCATCGGGGACTTGCTCTACATCGGCTCGTACAACCCGCAGTTCCACACGGGTGCTGCGTGGTACAAGCCCCCACACCAAAACTTCTCCGTGAAGATGCCGAAAGATCTGGCTCACGGACCGGCGCTGTTGAGCGTGCAGCATTGGTCCATCGTCGGCGTGAGTATCCGAGTTGTGGATGGTGTGTGCACATGATGACTGACTGTCGCGCAGGCGAGCCAATGGTCGCTTCTGGAGTCCAAGAACATCACGGTGGTGGTGACCTGATGATCCCTGCGTGCAATTGTCCCACCTTGAATTCAGAGAAAGAAAAACAAATAGTTACAGATATTGTACGCAGGATAAATGAAACTTGTGTTACAGAAAAGATCCCCTCTTCAGAAGTGTTCCTTCGCGAACGTGAACTCGACACGGGCGTTGCTGGTGTGCTCGCAGGCGGATTTGATGACTTTGGCAAGGGGAGTGGGTCCACAGAAGAAGGTCCCGACTTTGGTCTTGAGCTGCTCGCTAGATCCAGGAAGATAGTGGCCGTCCTGGATGGCCTGGCTCATCGATCCGAGGATGGTGGACCAGTCGGGACGACCGAACTGCGACAAGAATTAGCAGTGCATGCGACGAGGCAAAGCAGAAGACACACGGATGTCCTGGTGCGCAGCAAGGTCAGAGGATCATAGGCTGAACCTGCATCGTTGACAGCGATGTTCCACAGCATGTCCTCGCTGATCTTCTGCGTGAGGTAGATATTGATGCGAAGGAAGTTGGCTGGAGCGCGTTCAGTGCATCAACTCGGGGGCAAATCACAGATACGCACGATCAGCTTGCGCTGCCTCGACCTCGGAAAGCAGGCTCTGGAACCAACCAAAGGACGGCGCATCGCGGACAATCCAGAAGAACTCAACGCGCCGCAGCGTGCCCAAGTTGCCCTTGCGCTGGCGGTACCAGATGTGTTTCAGGATCGAGGCAAAGGGCGTGACACCGATACCGGCACCAATCAGGACTGCGACCTCGACGTCGAAGACATCTTCGGTGGGAGCGCCGTATGGGCCATCGATGCGGACGACGGGCATCGAGCCAGTAGTGCTGGCATCAAGCTCGACAAAGTCACCCCGCAGACCAGTAGCCTTCTCGTCCGTCTCGGACCCTTTCATCGCAGACTTGGTCATGGACGCGACCACTGATGGGCCGACACCAAGGCGTTCGCCGAGGGCATGGGTCCAGTCGCCGACTTGACGCACATGCACCGAGACGTAAGGGTCTTCAGGTGCCGAGGTGATTGTGAACTGGGCGGGGGTGAATCGGTGGTCATGTCAACAGAAGACGGAGGTAACCCACGGGATGCCATTGCCAGATCGACAATTCCGGAACTTGTAGGAATAACCATTGCCCAGGTTGATATTTGAAGCTGGGTTTGTCGATCCGCAGTTCCATTGCGCCGCTGGGGTGAACTAGGACACGAGACAGTCTCGTAGCACGGCGGGCACGGATTTCTCTCCAGACACGTTCGCCGAAATAGATGATGCCGGGCCAGATGATGTAGCGCCAGCTGAGGTACCCGAGGCAGTGCTTCGGGTCATAGAACGGGAACGTATCTGTGTAGGCTGGGTTGACGGTGTCGCGCACGAAACAGCCCGTGGCGTGGGTGTACACGCCGATCATGAAGAAGAAGGCCAGATGGTGGGTGTACCAGAACGCCTCGAAACACTGGTTTCGGACCTTCTGTTGCGCCGTCGTGTACATCAGCAGCATCATGAGCAGCATAAAGTGGCCAGTGAGGGCACCCGCTTGCGTGTAGTGGATATCGAGCGCTCTCTCCTTGCGGACCTCTGATCCAGGTGTCAGAAGGGACTGACTAGCCAAGAGAGCAGCTTACGGGTGCGCTCGACATTGATAAAGTTGACATAGTGGCCAGAGGTGTGCACGGCGCTCCAGAACGCCATCGAGTACGCGACTTGTCGATGGAACCACAAGTTCTCGTCCGCAGGAAAGAGCCACGACATCTTGGGGCGCACAAATCGGATAATATTGCGGAGCAGCGGAATCAAGATCAGGCCGCAGTCGAGCGCCAGCACCAAGCCGGCGCCACGGGACACCCACACCGAGTAAGTGAGCAAGTTGAGCACGGCAAGCTTCTGGTTGGTTTTCTACGACGGAGCATAGATGAGTGTCACAGCATCACATCGACGAAGGTTAGAGATTACCTGACTGTGCCATCCATAGGCAAACCAGAAGATGTGGATTCCATAGAACAGAATGTTAAAAGTCAGCCGGCGTCCATTCATGAACTCCCGCCGAAACCAACTCTCTCCCATTGCTGCGTGCGTATCAAGTCGTCGAGATAAAGAACGTCTTCAAGTTAGATCTGAGGCCAGTCAGACCGTTAAAAGAGAGGATGGGGTCGGAGGTTCGCTTCGTCAAGAGCGGGACGTCCGGGGGACGGGAGGGGAGATGAAAGAAGAACGAAAGCGTGAAGCGGCGCTGGAAGTCTAACCCACTGCCTGTTTTCTCGGCCGATCCATTTGTACCCAGGGCGCGTTCTAGACAGGTCCAGAGACTCTCGCGATTGATGGTGTGTCCCCGACAACACCGCTGTGCAGTGTATGAAACTGATAGCATCCGAGGCCAGTCCAGTCCAGATTCGAGGAAATCAAGTCATTCAAGATCGACATTCAGTGCTCTTAGAAAGCCTCCCGTGCGGGTTGCAGGCAGGTCACGGCGCGGGTTTGTCAGAGAAGTAGAGATCATGACCACTGCAGTGTTTTCTGTGATTGAAATGCACTCGATGGAGGTTTTGAGACCGAAATCTGGCCCCTAGGCAGATTGTATGCGGGTTCAGCAGTCTCATTTCTCGAGACGAGACTAAGGAGGTTGAGGGATCTGTTCGAGTCAGGTGATATGCCAAGATAAGCGTGTCCGCGGCATGTGACCGGTGAAGCTGCCCACAAATTCGGTTCCCCGCTCCTGTTGTGACGTTGCGACGATCACGATCTAATCACCGCCTGTGTGCTCCTTGTGCAACACCAATACCTCTTGATGTCATACGGCGATGACGACCGAGCGATGTGCTCACGTCCCACCAATAAGTACTGTCAATAGCGAAGGCGCGCTATACATGTCAGACTCGGGCGACCGAAATCAGGGCCGGAAGAGCGGGACAAGTCGTGATCATTCAACGCTGCATTGATGACAAGTTCGAGGGAAGGCCGCTTTGAGTTCCAGACCCGAGCTATCTTCAAGTCCGTGGGCAACCTGAATGAAAAGACGACCTCTTCGCCAGTATCGAACTGAAGAAGCTGACGTAGATCTGATCATGGATTTTGTGCCGATCCTGACCGTGACGAACAGCCGCCGTCTCCCGTTCGTCGAGGTCGCAAGGTGCGTTCGCGAATGCTGCGGCTCTCGAAAGAGGTTTAACGAAACTCAGGTACGTTAACTCGGATGTAAGCACTCGAATCGCCAGCCAATGATCCGAGGGCTGGTAGTTTGAAGTATGTTGTGCAGAAATAAACCAGATTCTATTTTTAACTTGCGTCTATTTCTACGCAGGACTATCATAAATCTGCTTCTTATCCAGTGACAGATGGGACGGCTAGGGACGGCTCTCGTTGTTCTTACCCTTCCACCGTCGGACAGCCGCTCGTTTCTGCTCCGCCCTCTGCGTTTGCTGGATAGGCGCGACCCACCGCAATACACGGATAAGCTCTCTGCCGAGGTGGTTAGTCGGGTGCACGCCTAGCTCAGGTGCCCGACACGTTTTCCGCCGCATAGTTACCTTGTAGGCCGCCTAGATCCCGTTGCCCTCGACTGAGGCCATGCTCCCATATCGTCCATCCGTTCCCTCACCGTCTCTGCGCGATTTTCTCAACCCGACCCGCTACAAAACGATAATACTCATCGTCATACTCTCGTTTACCTACGTCTGCATCGTTCTCAGTGGCCGCTCGTGGAACTTGGTGTTCCTGTCGCAGGATGCGGACTTGGTATTTGAGCCGAACGAATCCCAGCCCGGTGAGCTCAGGCCAGTTCGGTACAGATCTGCCGTGTATCATCCGTTCCGTGTCCCGACAATCGAAACCTCGCTCGCAAACCAGACGGTGCGGCCGATCAAAGCACATAGTGCGCTTTCCCGGGAGTGTTTGGATCGATGGGTGTCGACGGGCCAGTGGCAGGAGCCGTGCAGACACAGCATGGTACAGGACTCCAAGATTGATCTGGTCTACATCTGGGTGAATGGGTCGTGCGTCTCCGTCCAACTTTAACTTGATGTCGCAATGATCATCTTGACGGGCAGAGATCCTTTACACTTCGCCTCTCGAAACACGACATTGCACGACACCAACGGATATCGCACCTCTGAAGCTCGATTTCGAGAGCACGGAGAGCTGCGGTACTCGATCCGTGCAGCGCAGCGAGCTACCGCAACATGGCCCGATGTCACTACGCACATCGTCACTGCTGATGTTCCTGCGCCGAATAATGACACTTACCGCTTGGGCCTCGTGCCTCAGTGGCTGGATCCCACATGCGCATCGTACACTTTTTCGCCCCAGATCGACCAGGAGATCACCGTCCAGCAGGGTCAATCACCGATCCGCTTGCATCATGGTAGATAACCCGACTTGCTGTGGTTACCAGTCATTCAGTGCATGGCATAGACACCCAACTCTTTCGTTACACCGCTGATCCCGGCACTCGGCTACAATCTGAAGATGCCGCCCTATGGCTGAGCAATGTTTTGCCATCCTTCAATAGGTCTGTGTTGATGCACGCATGCCGGGAACGCACTGATGTCGTTACAGCATGGCCGTTGAATCACAACTTGCACATCTCAATCCCGATGTGGTGTCTGAGAATATGTGCGTGTCCTCGGGCTTTTCAGTGTTTGTTTTTTTGACTGGTCCGCAGTATTGCGCTCAATGATGATCAGTTTCTGATGCTTCCTGCGCCGCCGTCCGCTTTCCATAGCACTCTTTACGGGCCCGTCTTCCGGATCCAAGACAACTTGATGGTCGATGGAAACGATCGGGGGATGGCGGACGGCAACGGCGAATGGCGCTCCCTTCGCTGGAGCGCACAGGTCCTTGGTACATCTTTCTCCTGCTCTCGGCATTTCAACGACTGACCCGGCACCCAAGACAAACGGTTCGGGACACGGAGACGGCCCTATGTCCAGCACAACGCTCGAGCTCTTTCCTTGCCTCTGATGCATGAAGCAGCCCTCACCTTCGGTTCAGAGTTTGCCAACACGCCTCTTTCCCACTTTCGCGGCTCTCACGACGTCTCCGGCGAATACGAGATCAACACGATCTTCCTCGCGTCGCACTTCGTGATCGAGCGCCATAGAGAAGCCCTGCTCTGGTCCTGGGTGATTGGGAAATGGGGTTCTAGAACGAACGGCGTCTTCGATAAGCGTGTCAAAGCCGAGATGTGGGCTGATCTCGGCGGTCAGCAGGAGATGGATGATCTGGTCGTCCAGGCTCCCGAACGCGCGACCAAAGACCATGTCGACTTGAATATGCTCATAGCCGGGATTCAGCCCCCTGAAGCCATCGAACCTGACAAACAGATGCATACTTTGTACAGCTGGGGTGAGTTCCGGGACCTCCTTTCGACGACAATCGGGCTGAACCTGTCCCAGTTTCCATGGATGGGTACACCTCCGATTACAAGAATTTTCCGAAGAAGACGACACATCGAAGGAGTGCCTGTCTAGGGACAGAACCGGAAGACGCCTGGGACGTCTTCATTAGATTACTGATGGGTCAGTGCGGAGACTACGGTGTGTTTTGTGATCTACTACTAGTCTCGTGGCTCGTACTTACGAGGATCAGTCATCACTTCCTTGACACGCAAATCCACGTCAGGGCTGAGCGCATTCCTCCCTGATCATACAGAAGCCAAGGAATCTCCGGAGGACCCTGTCACACTACCTCTCGAACTGCCAAATCAGATGCCGCGGCTACCCTCCAATCCCAGAGCTTTTGCCACACGTATCATACAGCGATATGCTTACGTCATCGGTGACTCCCCAACGGTCTTCATGAGCATGAAGGGTGTTCTTGGCGCACAACGCATCCTGGAACGCGTCGATCGAGAGAGGAAAACTGCGCTCTTTTGTTTGAACGATGACCTCAGTAGCAACCAGAAGGTTCTCGGTGACACTGATACTCTCCTAAGACGCTGGTTTGACGGTCGCTGGCCCGACAAGCTTCACTGCGAGACGGGACGATAGCTGTTGTATTTTGATCTCATTTGTACTTGTACAGTTGGCTGGGTAGAATTGTAGACGTACAGTCGTTTATAATCAAATCACTTTGTAGATGCCGCCAAATCCGAATCAGCCAATCGATCGAATTGTGGCAAAGTTACAAGGGCACTGGCGACAGCGACGAAATTACAAATTTGTGGATACTTCAATACAAAATCACGAAGAGAGAAAGTCAGGCAGATCAAATTCGAAGCCACGTCAGCCACTGTGGTCGCGGCACATCTCGTGTATACAAGCGAGCCAGGGAGCTCGCCAGAGGACGAGTGCCGAGTTTGAGTGAATGATCCAAATTTTGAGAGAGGCGCAGCTGAGGAGGCCGCAGGAGTCCTTGGGGTGGAGCTGACTCGTATGATTGGGAGACGGCGGTGTCCGACTCGCTTTCAGAGGTCCTAGCACCAGAACTCTGCCCGGAGTAAGAAATCAGGGCACTCGGATTGAAGAGAGCCCGTACATGAGTGGAAAACACACTCGGGCTTGCACGACAATGTCTAGCGCGTAGTGCAGAGATTTCAGGAGGGGTCTTGTACCGGGGCAAGCCGCCGCGAACAGCCTTCTTGGCAGGCGGAGGTGGAATGAGTCGCGAGGCCGGAATGTGTCCACCAGCCGCATAATAGCGCGGCATATCGTTGGAAAACTCAGATGGATTCCCGGCGGGTGGAATCTGGAAGGAAGTAGGTCTAGCGGGCGGCGACGCCCAGTCACGGTCCACGGTGGCTTGCCCGAATGGACAACCGACGAGAGACTGTGCTGGGGCATCCATGAGCACCAAGGCAGGCCTGGCCAGATCTGTCAGCCTTACCTGCAAGGCATGTCTCGCGTGCTTCACGATGGGACTGCTGCAAGCCCTTGTATACCCGCTCTGCTCGAACGGAATCAGGCGTTGTGTCGAGATTGTGGTCGACCTCCATGGGCTCAAGGGCAAGTTCATCGATTTCCATGGGCTCATCGGGTTGGAACCCCAGATCGACAATGACGAAGTCGGGATCTACTTCCATATCGTCGGACAAGGAACGAGGGCCGGAGAAGGTCGTGCCGGTTCCGGTAGTACTGCCAAAAGCGAAGTAGGTAGGGAATGAGTTCCAAGCGATGTTGCTGAATGCTGTAAAGGTGCTCGACATTGCGGATAGAGAGGCAGGGGAGTCAGGAGCAAGTGCGAGTTGTTCAAATAAATCATAGCGACGTGATTCTGCTTTATACACTAGTGCTTTGGAGTTCACATTGATGCCGCTTTGCCTACTTGAGAGACTAAACAATAAAAATCAGAGAGAAAGCGCGCGCGTAACACAGAGAAGCGGTGGCAGGTCAAAAGTGTTATACTAGACACTGAGCGCTTTGAGCCTTGATGATTGATGGGAGATCATTCGATAGTGCTTTGACCCGGATGAACGAGTATGTAAATCTGTAAACACGGAGCATGTAATGTGGAGGCCGCCGAAGGCTATGGAAAGCAACATGGCCGCGGAGGGTGAGATCGACGAAAGCGGGAGGCGTGGACATGATCATCAGGACAATTGATGGGAATTCTGCTTGTCCTGGCTTGCCGCTACCACCACACCTCTTTCCTTCTCATGCACCTTCAGCTGTAACCTTGTACCCTGTTGTTCTATCATCTCTTGTACCCCTCTTCCATCCGCCATGCCCCACGTACGTTTCTGGTCCAGCAGAAAAGTTTCCCTGGCGTTCACTGACTAATACGTGGTTATTTAGGACGCGGCCTCTCAGAGCCTGCTTTCTCTCTCCCTGGCCGCTGCGGCCGCCCAACCGATCCACATATCTGATGCCGTGGCTGCCAATCCACCCAGGCATCCGCCGCCGATCGGCCAGGCACCCCACAGGCGCTTGTCCTCGACAAACAGACACCGTAGGCTGAGCGACGCGAGGGATGCAGCCACTCGTCCCCTGTAAGTCCTCTTAGTACTTATTTTGCCGGAGGACTTAGAATTTGATAGGGCGGTCGGTAGCCCGACACTGGCGATGAAGGGCCTGTCGCTCTCCTCTTCGGTTTCTCCTCCGCCAGCTGGTCTCGCTATAGCCGCTAGCGCTCCGGCGGACAGCAGCTCACCGATACCGATTGGCTCTGGGCGCAATAAGAAACGCGGGGTGGACCATAAGTGCGAAACTTGCTCAAAGGTTCGTTGTCCGCCTTGACTCAGTCCATCTTTTTTCTGTCCCATCCTGCATCGCCTTCATTTGCTTGATTCGCTCATTGATTGGGACTGCCCATCACACTGATTCATTTGACGCTTCGATGTGGTTGTCTTTATGTTCACTCCTCTCATCCATCTGCCTCTGCCTGCTTCATGCCGTTGTCGGCTGCGCTGTATGCCCTATCTTGGGAAATTTTTGATGACGAGATACAACCCCTTTATTCCCTTATTGGTTGACATGACTCATCCTGCTGACATATGCGGGGCGAGTGACCTTGTCTTACTTTCCCCATCATGCACCCTCTTTCGTGATTTGACGTTGACCATGATGTAGATCTACCGCCATCCCTCGTGTCTTATTAAGCACCGCTGGGAACATACCCCCCATTGGCGCACGCTGTCGTCTTTACCCCATTCCGCTTCAGGTGGCGTCCTCACCAAACATGCGCAAGTGCAACTTCTCGAGGCGGCTGCCATTCTTTCACACCTGAATACGGATACTGGCACCAGTCTCCCGGAGGATCGGAGCATGTGGCCTAGATGGGTCAGCGGTGGCACGCTCGAAGGTGACGGCGACGTTCCTGCCTCGTATGGGTCAACTGGGTTCGGCTCGGTCGCGAGTGCCAGTGACTATGGTCATGGGACTCGGACTACGGGGAGCGTTCCCGGCCCGAGATTGCATGACTATGAGGTTCCGCGAGGCGTTCAGGTCCGCTCCGGTGTCGTCGAGGTTCCTCATCCCCGTACCGGGCGTTATGGGAACGGACATGGACATGTCCACGGGCATAGTGTGGGAAGTGCATGGAGCGTCCCGCGTTCTGTCAGTGTCTCGGCTTCCGTCTCTTCGGAGCAAAGCCGGTCCCGCTCGACGCCCAGCGACGATGAGGAAGACGACGACCGAGCGTACTCATACTCCCGAGGCACGCGTGTCTGGAAACATGAAGAAGAGGAAGAGTTTGGTCTCGAGTTCGATCTCGGGGGCGTCAGAGAAGAAGAGGGTGAGGAGGATATCGACGAGAAGGGCGAGGCTCGTCGCTGGAACGGCATGGAAGACATCGACGATATCGATATGGACATGGATTGACATGCCCATCCGCAACGCGCCACCAACCAGACGCACGCTCGAAACTTTCCTCTGGGACTGCTTATCTCCTCTTAGCATCGCATATATGGACCCGCTTCTCCTTTTACTTTACGGCTTGCGTCTTCGAGCGGAAGGATTTGAACGAATCGACGAATAACTCAACACGAAATCAATGTATCTGTATCATTATATCTATTCTTTCTCCCGAATGTGTTGTACATACATCAAATTCATGACGCAATTTTGACGATGGAACTGTTGTGAAGACCTTCCTTTCCAGGCGTGCGGACGTAGTGCGGCCGAAACCTCTCGATTCAGGGCTCCCCCAATATTTCTTCTGACAAACTTATCCACGATTTATCAGATCCATAAGAGTAGAGCGATACAAGGGAAATATGGCGGAAACATCAACAGATTAAACACATTGGAGATCACTCTAAGGAAGAGCAAAATTGTACTTTTAGATCAAGATCTCGTCTAGTCCCCTCCCATCACATTCTACGCAGTTGGAATGCCAGCAAACTCGTCATATCCAAGGGCTAGGTTGAGATTCTGCACAGATTTAGTGTTTTTCCACGGGAATACGAGTTCATGCCGCACTTGTAGACATTGTGTGGCAGCACCCTTCAACAGGTTGTCCAATCCACCCTATGGCAATGAGTCTAGCTCTCTGCAATAAAATCGATCTAACGCACGACGATGACGACGCGGTCTCCCTCTCGGGACATCTGGAACCCTCCAACGCTCCAGGTGTGCTTCCCCTCGATATCCTTGAGCTCTGGCACTCCTGACATAAGCCTGACTAAGCGTTCCCCTTCGTACTTTTCGGCGAACAAAGCTGCAATCTCTTTGGCAGAGTAAGAGCCATTCAGTGGAATAGAAGCAGTGGAGATGATTCCGCTGAACCATGGCGACACGGAGGGCACGAAAGCGACCTTGATTCCGGCGGTGCCCAGCCGGGACAGGTGGTGGCCAGCTTCACGCTCGTGGATGTGCCCGGTCAGAGAGTACGGTCGGACGCCCCCGCCGAGACTCTCTGGTGACACTTTTGGGGCGCTAGTTGGTTGGCCGTCGGGGTTAGTGGCCATCACGGTCCCAGCACCGCTGTAACCTGACATTCCAAACACGCTGGGGACTGCAGCAAGTTTGTCGACCAGCGGACCGAGCAGCATTTGCGTCGAAGTTGCGTAACAACCAGGGTTGGAAATACGTTTAGATGTCCGGATTTGAGAACGGCCATACAATTCTTTCGAAGGATCGATTCAAAATTCATGGTACAAATTAACGCGACACACCAGGCAGGCCATACGTCCAGCCCTCCTCGAATCGATAATCCGCACTCAGATCCACCACAACGCTGCTCTTCTCCTTGGTCTTGCCCTCGGCCCCACGGTCGATGGCATCGACGAAGGGCTTGCAAACTCCATTCGGAAGGGCCATCACCCACGCATCGACTTCCCCATCCTTCTCCATCCTCTCTACATCTTCGACCGACAGATTCGAGTACGTCACCTGCGCTTTCGAATATCCCTCGAGCGGCATCCCCGCAAGCTGCCGCGAGGACACGTGAGAGAGTTCCAGATGCGGATGGTTGGCGAGCAGTGTAGTCAGCGCCTGGCCAGTGTACCCTCGAGCGCCAATCAGCCCAAGTCGCTTGACCTCAGTGGACACCGGCCCGGTAGCCGGCTCCGCCATGCGCCGAGCGCTGGTCGAGAACGACCGCTTGCCAGAGGGAGCAGACGCTTTGTGCGGTGGCGCGGACGGTCCCACAGGAAGATAGGACCGTTCGATCCGGCCCTTCTGCTCGAAGTCCTTGATGATGCGCTCGACCTCGTTCACATCTTGCACGCCATACCAGAACAGACTCTTCCCTGCGCGGGTGAAGCTGCCGTCCGCCCGCTCAAAGTGCCAAGCGCGGTTGTCATCGTCAGCCTGCGCAGTCCAGAACAGACGACGGTGATCCTTCTTGATGGCGTTGAAGACATTGTCCATCACATTGTTCAGGACACCGGCACGAGACGGGAGAAGTTTCTTCAGCACTGGAGTCTCGCCAGGGGGATGGGACACGACGGCGACCACATCCAGCGGCTCGTCGCCGTAGATGGTGTATGCCGAGTCTTTCATCTCAGCCAGTACACCGGCCACGCTCTGGAAGCCATTCAAAACTTCGGGGTCACGGTCGTGGATGACTTGGCGGAAGCGGTCTGCGCCGAGGCCCTCGATCGAGTCGTGCTTGAAAAGCTTGTAGCCACGACGAATGAGGGTTCCCGCGCCGCTGTCCGTGAACAGCTCCTTTTGGAGCATCGGTGCTGAGATAACAGCAACAGACGATGTGCGGGGAAGGTAGTCCAGCAGTTCCTTAAACTCCCGCAGCTTGAGCTTCGTGCCAAACTTGACCCAAGGCTCCTTCATCAAACTCTCATATTCTTCGTCCAAGTTGATCACGGACAGTTTCTCGCCTGTCACACCGTGGAACAGCCCGCCCTTCTCGTTCAAGAAGACAATCTTCATCGGCTCGAGCTCTTTGGCGAGTTCGCCTGCTGCGATGTCGGCGTTGACGTTCAGGATCTGGCCGTCGGGAGATTCCGCCAGGGACGTGAGAATGGGCAAAGCGCCCGCTCGGATCGAGGCCTCGAGCGGTCGCTTGTCAATCTTCGTGATCTTCCCTACTAGTCCGTACTTGTCCTTGTCCAGGTAGTCGGCGGTGAACACCCCGGATGTGATGGGCCGAGCGCGCGTGCCGTGCTTCTCGAGCGCCGTCACGAGCTTTAGGTTTTCCTCCAGGAAAACCCGGCGGGCGATTTGAAGCGTCTTGGCGTCTACAGGGCGGCGTTAGTCTAGATTCCCATGCACAGGTTGTGGGCGGCTAAATGAGACAAACCAGTAACTCGAATCCCGTCAATATAATCAGGGACCACACCCTCCCGCTCAATCAATTGGTTGAGTTGCGGGCCCGCACCGTGCAGTACGACTGGGTACAATCCCACTCTGTACAAGAAGCTCAAGCTTAATGCGAGCTCGTCTATTTGATCCAAAACGGCGCCCCCAATCTTGATGACCGCAAATTTGGCGGGTTGGGAGGGGTGCGACGACGAGGAAAAGATGCGCAGATGGCGCTCGACCTCGCGTTTGGTGCCGATGGAGTAGAGGAGACGAGTAATCGTGTCCTAATTGGCACCGTCAGAGGTTGGAAAACGACAGGGAGGAGTAGCGCTTAAAAAGGGAATGAATTTGCTCACCCGGTCGGTCTGCGCAATCGACTGCAATGTCCGCACGGAAATCTTCGCCTTGGGGAGCGGAGCAATAGCAGCGCGAGTAGAATGTACGACTACAGCTCCAGCGCGTCCTGAGACCGCAGCCCGTCCACCGAGACGCGACGCTACCAGCATTTCACGAGTCTTTTACTGGAGGTGACGGAGCAGTGGAGGAAGTGTGGGGGAAGCAGTTGATGGACGAGAGAATAAAATGTGTTCCACGTGATCGAATGTCTCTTGACTCGACCCTTCGAATCGAATTCTCTGGCCCACAAAACAACTTGCGAGGATTATGCGAGTGAATGGAAGAAAAGAGGTCCACGTTCCTATTCCAACACCGGCCAATTGCAATTCGACCTCAGCGAGAGATAGCCTCTGGCTCGATCCACATCAGATGATTCGGCCCGTGATCACCTCGATCTCCAGGCTCAAAGACCTCAGCCCAATGTTTATAAACAGGGAATCTTGTCTACATTCGCATAACAAGTCACGTTTCGGCTCGTTTCCGCCCGTCTACCGCCCTATTTCCATCCAGATTTCGTGATATAACATGTCAGTCATGTCCGCCGGGCCTTGCGTCAATAATCAAGCCACCTCGCCGGCCTGTCTAGCTTCAGCGACATACTTGCCACTTCCCGGGGAGAATATGTCCTGAGGACACTATCAGCCCCAACAATCACGAAAGGCTGAGGATAGACCTGCCTTGATGATCCCGCCGGAAATCTGCCCGAGAGCAGCCCTGCTCTCCCAAAGTGGATAGAGCACCACACCAAATGCGGACAAGAACGACCAGATGATCCCAATAACGACCCATGCGGTGTAGCCTCCTTTGCCGTAGATTGTTGACGCAAAGAACAGCGGCAGCGGAATCAGGATAATGAGGATGAGAAGCTGCCAGGTTGAGCATCATCACTAAGTGGCATCCGAGAGAAAGCTCACCAATACAAGCGAAGACCAGGCGGCAAAGTCGTAGGCCTTAATCAAGGCAGCTGGTTCAAGTTCATCATCAACTTGGGCAGGGGAGGCTGTCGATTCGACCATCGAAGGTGACTTTTCTCCCTCCTTGACTTTCTCCTGCTCGCCATCCTCTTTCTCCTTGACCAGCTCGACTGGCTTGTTAATCGCGCGGGTCGATTCGAAGTCGTAGTTTTCCGGCCACTGGACATGAGTGAGTGGACTTCCAGGAGTGCAGCAACGGACGACCTACAACATAGGAAGTACCAACAGAAATGATGAAGCCGACACCAATCGATGCGAGGTTGCCGGCAAGCATTTCAAAGTCACCTGGCCCGATACGCTTAGTTTCATGATTTTTGTCGTCAACAGACAGACAGACCTCCGCTAGTGTTGACGTTAATTATACCGCCGTTCAAAGTGCTGGTGGTCACAAGCCATGCGACAATGCCTGCCACGAAACCGAGCACAGAGCCAATGATACAGCCCTTCTTGTTGGCCTTGCTCCAAGTAATGCACAGTGCGATAGGGGCAACACCGGAGCCAAGGATGACGCCCATGAAGGTCTATAGCTACGCTTAGATTCCACATCGGACGGAGAAGTTCGGACATACATATAGCCACCCCATGGAGACACCGATGTAGAAGAAGATGAGGCCCGCAAGACCGATGACGATAGCATAAAATGCGACCTGTGTAGGAGATGGGCGCCCAAACGAGTAAGGAACGAGGGGAAACCCACCATCCAATGGCTGACGCGCAGAATCTGTGCTTCAGTGGCTTGCGGGTTGATGTATTTCTGCAGATCCAATCAGGATCATTCTATGGTCGAGCCTCAACCATACCTTGTAGACATCATAAGTCAGCAGCGAAGACACTGCGATCAACTCCGCCGATGTCGCGCTCGTGACAGCCAAAAACAACAACACAAGCAGGGAGGCAGCGCCTGCCTTCCCCAACAGAGCGCTCGCGGCAGCAGCAGCAGGGAGCCCCGCAGAAACGTCGGAGGGAGAAAGCACCCGCATGCTGGGGTCCCCACGGAGCGCCACTGCAGCCAACCCAAGAGTCGTCGCGAGCGTGAAGGGGATCGCAAACCATGCGAGGCCGCCAAGAAGGTAGGCTTTGACTGTCGTCGAAGGCCGGCTGGCGATCGCTCGCTGGAAGTAAGCCTGGTCCTGGAAGACGGTGGCTATCCATGGCGATCAGACCCAGCTCTTCTTTCATGACCTCAGGCCTCACCGAAGTTTCCAATGATGTTGATGACACCGAATATCAGTCCGTTCTTCGAGCGCATCGTCAGATACGAGCCATGGGCATTTCCTGGGACAGGGGATGCCGCTGCTGCTGATGTCAGCAGCTCGTACATCTTGGAAGGGCTGCCGATCTTTTCGCTCGTGCCATAGACTGTGAATACGAAAACCTACAGAGGAATGACATCAGCGTCGATGACCAGCAGGCCAATGAAAACACGTGCGAAGATGATGGCGAAAAGGACAGTCGTGTGGGTGCTGCACGAATTCAGCTGAGCTTGGACCACAAGATTCATGCGACATACTAATCACACAAAAGCGTCGAACGCATCCCGCCAACAACAACATAGATCGAAACACCCAGTGGAATGAGAAAGCAGGCCTGAACATGGCAGTGGATCAAAAAGTGAAGGAAAACCCGGTGAGAGGACTGACGGCGATGGTGCTCATCCCAGTGAGATCTGTGACTGTGGCGCTCCCACCCAGAATCAGCATGGAGCTCACAATGATATTTGTAGCCAATCTGTATCGCAATTCAATAGGCCGTGAGATCATCGGAATTAATCCGTACCCAAAGAACATGAAGATCAGATGCGCTGAAAAACGGGAGATTGGCCGAGAGTTCCACAAGGGGACCGTTTCACACACCAGCTTTGCCCCATCTGGCGCCGACAATTTCGAGCCAAGTGTGTGCGTACGGTGCATTGAGCTTCAGCTTCGCGGCGATCTGCAATCGAGAAGTGGTCAGTCGAAGAAGCAGAAGGCGAATCAGCCGACTCGATGTATCCCGCACCATCGCAAACAGCAGCACTTGAATTGTCGCACCCGCTGTGGATTGAAATTCAGCGTTTACACGACCAATTGGACCGCAATGACCTACAGGCATACCACCACGGCCCGCTGATGCCTAGCGTATAAAACGTCCTTGAGATCAGAAGAAGACGAGAAGCAAGCTTGTCGGTTACGCACCGTACTTATACGCAACCGCGCTGCTTTGCAACAACGTCGCTGCCCAGGTCCACGCGCTCACGATCCCTGCCGCGATGAGTCCCGGTTTGACAGAGCGGGACGCGCTGCTGAATTCTTCCGACGAGCGCGGGGAGAAAGACGTGTACCGCGACTGGAGCGCCGTCAACCCAATCATGAACGCGCTGAAGAACAGGCCGATCCCTGCGCCATGCACTCGGTCAAGCATCGAGCAGGCAAGGTCCTGTGAACGCACCGACGACTGTGCGCCGTCGATATGAGCTTATGAAAATCCTCAGAATATTAGCGAACACGAACCGACACCATATCCCGCGCCCTGTGGCAGTACCGTTCCAGACGCTGACATTAAACTTTCGTGGTTCGAGAGATTCAAGAAGCAGGAAGCAAGCAGGAAGCAAGCGGAGCTCAAGTATTTGTCTCTTCCCGAGAAGAAGCTCCAACTTATCTATCGACCTGGCAGCGCTGGCAGGTGCGATAAGAGATCGAAGCTCGGCGTGAGAAATCCGGCACATTCGTCTCTCCCTCAGTGGCTCGTCCGTCTGATTTTCCGATAGAGCTAGCATTCAAGAGTGGATTGGGCGGGCCCGAGCCGACCCGTCAGCTAAAGTCTGACCATGATGGTGAAAGGACCAAGCCTAGGATTGATAGCATCGGAATCAGGTGACCGAAACTTTCTTAACATTCTTCCTGTTCAATGTCTCGGACATCCCACAAGATCTCCAACTTACTCAACTGTACTTGTAATAGACCGGCGGCAAATCTCGTTCCGACACCAGGAGTCTGACGCCCCCATCTGTGTGCACCACGGGTGTGGCAGCATTGCTCACGACAAACCGGCGGGTCTGCGGGGGGATCGTGATCCTTAGCTTGTCGTGTGGACCGTCTCCGCTGTCAGGAGTGAAGTCCTGCTGACCACGGCCATCGCTGCTCGAAGCGCCCGGGGATATGGCCGCTCTCGTACCGACGAACCATGACTTCGGTGGCGTAATTGGCGGCGGCGGAGTCTCTTCTCTGTAGGCTGAAGAGGCTAGTATCAGCATCATTCCTAGGCTGCGGAAGAGAGTTAACGAACGAAGAGGAGAGGGTCCCTCAGCACGACCGAGGACGGCACCCAAGAAACGACCTTGCGGTTTTTCACTGGGCGGCCGTTCCTGATCCGCATTCGCCTCCGCCATTTGCTTCATCCATGTCCTATGAGACCGCCAGAACAAGGCCAGGCCGACGAGGAAGATGGCCGAAACTGCCAGGATGATGGCAACCACGGCTCCGATCGAAGGACCTGATCTAGCCGACGCTCGTGCCAGGGTTGCGCTGGTGGTGGACACGGCAGTAGCATCGCTCTTTGAGGGCGACGGACTTGAACTCGACAATGACGTGGGGACTACGCTCGAGCTGACTGCTTGACTTGTTGATGCGGGTGGACTGAGTGCCGAGACCGTCGTGGTTAAGCAGTCTGTATTCCCCGCCACAACTTGCATGACATTGGCTAGATTGGCAATCGGTTCGGAACACATCTCGAGAACCGATGAACAACGCACATTGAAACACTAGAAACTCATTTGCCAGAGTGTTGTACGCGAAAGAGAAATTCTGGCCTAGACATGTTGGCGTCAAATCTTCTGCCCAATCAACCCACAAAAGGCTAACCTATAGGGAGCGAAACCTGGAAAGTCGTGGATGTGCCATTTTGCACACCCATATCGACCAGGTTTGTCAGCGTGATCGAATCTTCTGGTTGAACATGTAGATGCTGCGCAATGGCTCAAATTCGATGCTCTCGCTACACAAAGAACACCTCCTTACGAGAGGCGGCTATTTGCCATCATCATTCCGCGCTATCTGAGATTTTGGGATTGCGCACCTTCTGCGACCAGCGAGCAGTGATTACTGAACATTGGGGCACAAGAGTTTGCACGGGAAGAACGTCGAGGTCTCCGGCTGATACAATCATGCTAAGGAAAGCCAGAACGAGAAAAGAGAGTAGTGCGACCATCATGTGGGACTCGGCCAGTGAGATTTTGCAAAGGGGGAGCGTGCCAGCAAGCGAGCCTTGTCCCCAATCCAGCGGGCCTCATAAGACATCCAGGCGTTGCTCAACAACCAACTCCGAGTTAGCCCCCGCTCGTCGTCGACAGCACTGGTACGTAACTACAATCTTTCGCTAAGGATGGACACGACGTTACATGGGACAGCGATGAAACACGCTGAAACGCCCATCGCTAGAAGCCAACAATCGATGTTAGGGAGGTTCCTTGATGTTGATTCTAGAACTTGAAGGATATGCACTGCACAGCGCAGATCTCTACAGATCTTTTCACGACAGTCTCCGAATGTAAATCGGTGCCAGATTGAGACCAAGTAAGTAATTATACATTATTAATCATCGTAGTTTCGATACACAGGAGGAAGTTCTTCCGGTTCGACTCGCACCCACCATCCGTATGCAGTATTCTCGGCGCAGCAGGGGGCTGAGTCACTGATGCGGTCGAGCTTCCTTTTCTTGTCGTAGGCGGTGAGACAAGCGAAGGCTCTGGTAGTGTGTGCGATCCCATGGCAAATGGGCTCCGGACCGTGCTGGGCATGATGGATGGATCGTACGGACTGGTAAAGGATTCTGTTCGGTAGGCTAAGCGAAAGCATTAAGCAGCAGTTAGTTCGTTGTGGATGGTAGCACATACGACTGATCATGGTAACTGCCTGACCTCGACCCGATTCCTGATCCAAGAAGCGAGGAGTAACTGAGTCGTGCTGTGATCCCTCCAGTGCAGCTAGTTTCTGTTTGTACCGTCGTTTGGAGAAGCAGAATCCTCCCAAAGCAGCCAAAATCACAGCAACGGCTCCAACCACTATTCCACCGACAGCACCGCTAGATATCCCGCTCCCGCTATGACTATTCGTGTCTGGGACAGCAGACGGTGATAGTACAGCAGTTGATGATGTCGAAACAGGAGCTGTGGCACTTGAAGTCAAAGTGCTGGAGGAGGAGGTGCTGGAGGAGGAGGAGGAGGAGGCACTGGAGCTAGGGTTTCCGTTCGATAGACACTCCGTTGTTCCTGGTCCTACAGTCATCATGGAAGCTGGAACTGGCAATCAGCGCATGTTTTTTATTCCATCACAAGAGTGCTTGCATTGGAAAACGAGGAACTGGTTGGCCAGTGTATTGTAGGCAAAAGAGAAGTTTTGGCCTGCACTTGATCAGCAATTGCTATGAAAAGAACAAATCTCTCGTACCAACAGGCAGTGCGACTTGGTAAGTCGTGAACGTCCCATTCTGGATACCAAGGTCGAAAAGATTTGTGACGTTGATCAGAAGATTGGGTTGTACGTGAAGGTGCTGCAAATCGCGCAATTGAGAACGAAAATTTGTAAGAGCGATCGATGGACTCACGATTGGCGACTGCGTGAGTAGCGGGTAGTACTATCAGCTCCCGAGATCCAGCAGGAAGCGCACATTACGCACAGGTTGATCCCAAAGAACTTCCAGCGTCGAGCATTGAGGCACGGTAGTTTCTTGAGGAAGGACGTCCAGGTGCCCTGCACAGATGCCCCGAGTCGCAAAAAACAGCGATAAAGCCAACAGAACCCATCGATCCATATTGCGCAGATGAAGCAAGGACGGAGAGAGGTGTCAGAGAGAGAGAGAAAGAAAACGTCCCTGGTCCCGACAAGCGCGGGCTATGCTTCATGTATACATGTGAGGCAAGAATCGACGATTCGCGCGACAATCATCCACCAAGACAGCGCTTATTTAATCAGTGAGAAGTGTGTCGGACCGGAAGAGATGTCCGTTGCTGACCCAGATAGCGGGTTTGTAGTCTGCAGTGCCCCCCTCTTTACAGGGTTGGCGATTCATTCGAGGCAGAGGCTCGACAGGATTCGGTATTTCAGGAACCATCCCGAACGGCTTTGGGAAGCCAAGGCAAACTGATTCGACACGCATGATGACAGTTGCTTGACAATGACCAGTCAGCTGATTCTGCTGAGACGGTCTTGAAGGAGCTTTACCTGAAACGGAGTCTCTCGGTGGCTCTAGTGCATTAGCGGAAACTAGGAGTGAAGTGCCAGTCGAAACAAAGTCTGCTGGTAAGTACTAAAGTAGGATGATGTCGACGCGTGACGTCGAAATGTTTGCCTGTCCACAGCGAGCGATCACATGATATCCAAGCAGGAGCAAAGCTGTCCTTACTTGTGCCTGATTATCGCGTTGTTGCGGTATTTTGACGCGGCTCTAATACATTTCCATTCATAGCAGTGAGGTTCAGAAAATTTAAGACAACGCGTTCTCAACTCAACTCTCACTTCAGCTCTGATACTCTTTCAGTTAAATCACCTCATTCGTGCGATAGCTGCATCGCCACCTCAACGCTTGAGAACCTAAAGGAGCAAGTTTCGATCGAATCTTCGAGCCGGCTTCAGCACCAGTTATTGAGTGCTATCTGAGTCGATAACAGAAGATGAACAGTCATTCATGTAATTTCCAAGTGTGTGTGGAACAAGAGGGCTAATTTGGTGGAGATGGCGCAGATGAATGTCAACGGGGAAAACGTGCTTGAGCGTGGTGGAAATGAATGAACTCCAGGAATAAAACTCTGTGTTCATCAGACGTAGAGAATGTGATACGGTCCAAGCCTCGTGCTTTCTCACCCCACTGACAGAAATTTCATAGGAATGACATATGAGACAGGCCAAATTCTGTGCGACTTGTCGTCAGGATCATGGTGTTTTCTCCACCTACTTGGTTAATTGCTTAGCAGAATCTCCATCCATCCAAGACCTGCGGTCAGATCGGTTGCGACTTTGCAAAGACAAATGCATGGATGAGGGATGACAAGATAAGATATACTTTGCATTACGAGAGCCCCCTTGTAACCTATCACAGCGCAAGTGCCCAGATAATTAACAGTCAAGCACAAGTGATTCTCCGCAGCTATCGGCCTACTCAGCGCACGATGTCGAGTGTAATGAGCGTATTTATTCTAGGCTCCATCATGTACGAGAGTTCTCGGGTCGATGACCCTCAATAAAAAAGAAGATAAAATTAGAAGATGATGCTCACCGTGCAGGTATCGAGTCTCGTACATTCCAAGGCACTCGTGCTTCGATGGCGCTGAAGTTCGAGGTCGAGTCCTGAATTGGAAAGAGATCATATCACGTGCCGATCGTTCTTGACTCAGATCGTCCTTTTTCGGTTTCGAATGCGCATTGATTATCTTTCTTCTCCTCTATCACATCTCCTTCGATCTAGGACTTCAAGACATTTCATCCGCTCAGCTACTCGCACCGCTACTTGGAATCGCATTCCAAGAGACACGTCGACCATGACGACCGTCAACAAAACCGCTCACCCATTCGACAAGACGCGATTTGACGCTCTTCTCAATCGTCGCTTTTTCTACGCCCCCGCATTCGAAATCTATGGCGGTGCGTCTCTATCCCAAGGGTCTGGCTCCTTCTCTGAGGTTTAAATCCGCTACAGGTGTGGCTGGACTCTACGATTACGGCCCACCCGGTTCGTCGTTGCAAGCCAACATCATCGCCGAATGGCGTCGCCATTTCATCGTCGAAGAGGCAATGCTCGAACTCGACACCACGATCATGACGCCTTCACCCGTGTTCGAGGCTTCCGGTCATGTAGCGCGATTTGCCGATTGGATGGTAAAGGATACGCTCAATGGGGAAGTCTTACGTGCGGACCACCTCGTCAAGAACGTGCTGGAGGCACGCCTGGCTGGGGATAAGGAGGCGAGAGGTGCTGTGCCAGTACCCGTGGCTACGGACAAGAAGAAAAAGAAACAGGTCAAAACGACGGCGGTGAAATTGGAGGATGCAGTCATTGCGGAGTATGAGTCGATCCTTGCTCAGGTGCGTCGTCCTGTGACTTTGCTTTACAGTGCACCTGAACCCTACGGTCACCACTAGTTGGACAATTACTCCGGTCCCGAGCTTGGCCAGCTCATGCGCACGCACTCGATCACGAACCCAGGCTCGGGCACCCTGTAGGCGAGCCGCAACAGTTCAATCTTATGTTCGCAAGCTCCATCGGGCCGACTGGTCAGCATCCCGGGTACGTCCCTATCCGCGTATCTTATTTCATCCTCGCCTGTTTCTCGGTCGTTGTTTCTCCTTTCTCATTTCTCCGGTTCCTGGTCGGCCACTGATGCTGAGGACGATGGTTGCATGGCCCATCCCTCCCAAGAGCCACGTGATAATCCCATCGCATTTTTCCGTGTTTTTGATTGGGTTTTTTTTCGTCGTCACTTGTGATGTTTCAGAGAAGCATCGAGTGTATCTTCGGTCGCGGACTTTAGGCTTTGATGCGGTGGGGGTAACAAACGCTTGGTACTTGCTCGTTTGCTTTTAGCTGCTCCCTATTTCTGGGCTGCTCGTTCCTTTTGGGATGTCGCCAAGGGGGGAGATCTCGCTCGCAGCCGGTTACCTCCGTTGTTGTCAAGGTAGTCCTTGATGACCAAAAGCCATGCACCCGCACCCATTTTCACCGGCGTTCTTAGCGCGTGTTTTGCTGGGTGAATGCAATCACCACACGCGATTCATCTCTGCCATGTTCGACCGCGAATCTTGTTCGGATTTCTCGCTCCGGTGCCATCAACCGGATGATCTGTTGTTCACCAATGCCGTGTCGAGATTATCCCTGCGTCCATCGCACGTCGATGCGCTCTGCCATATCTGTCTCGAGCTCGCTCTTCGGTCATCTGTACCCTACATCTGCTTTTGCACCCCATTTTCTTTGTTTTCGGACCAGGGTGGTCATCATCGATCATTCGTTGATGTCTTCCATTTTCATCATGCCTTTGGACGTATCCCATCCTGTTCTTTTTGTTCTTTTATCCCCTTCTCTGGGAAACCTGATTGCTGATCGCTATGTGACTCAGATATCTGCGCCCCGAAACGGCGCAGGGACATTTCCTGAACTTCTCGCGTCTTCTAGAATTCAACAACGGACGGGTGCCATTTGCATCAGCTCAGATTGGGCGCTCCTTCCGAAATGAAATTTCTCCTCGCGCCGGCTTGCTCCGTGTACGCGAGTTCACGATGGCCGAAATCGAGCATTTCGTCGACCCTCTTGAGAAGACGCATACCAGGTTCAGCGAGGTCGCGCACGTCGAGCTTGTTCTTTTGGACAAGTACACACAGGCTTCTGGGCAGACTACCACCCGGCGGATGACTGTCGGGGAGGCAGTAAAGCAGGGTGTCATTGCGAACGAAACCCTCGGCTACTTTGTCGCGCGTATCTTCGCATTCTTGGTCAGGATCGGATTGACGAGAAACGCCTGCGATTCCGCCAGCACATGGCCAACGAGATGGCGCACTACGCTGCGGACTGCTGGGACGCTGAGATTCAGAACAGTGTCGGTGGGTGGACCGAGTGTGTTGGCTGTGCCGACAGGTCTGCCTACGATCTCAGCGTTCATTCTGCTAAGACTGGCCAACCTCTTGTTGTGCGGCAAGCATTGAAAGAGCCCATCGTCGAGGAGAAGGCTGTGGCAGAATGGGACAAGAAGTCGCTCGGCAAGACCTTCAAAGGCGATGCTGCGGCTGTTTCCGCCGCTGTCGAGAACATGGATGAGGCGGCGCTGATGCGGCTGAAGGGCGAGCTAGCTCAAGGGTGAGAGTCTCTGTTTTCGAGCTTCCCCGTGATCTGACTGTCGCCCAGCCCGGCCAAAGTGCAAGCTGCTGACGGCCGCGAGTTTATGGTGGAGCCATCCATGCTCACTATCGAACGCAAAACCCTGAAGACCTCGAGTAAGTCGTGCCAAAGGTTTGTTTCACACGCTGACCCCTCTTAGTCCGGAGTTTACGCCCAATGTTATCGAGCCCTCGTTTGGGCTGGGTCGCATTTTGTACTGTTTGCTCGAGCACAGCTTCTGGAGCAGAGAGCAGGATGTGGAGCGTGGTGTGAGTCGCTGGACTTTCATCTCCGCTGTGTACTGACGTGCGGCAGGTTCTGTCCCTGCCAGCGGTCGTTGCACCTACAAAAGTCCTGATTGTCCCCCTCAGCGCTCGAGCCGAGTTTGATCCACTGGTTCAGGAAGTCTGTACGTGCAGATTTGTCATTGGCCATGCGCTTCGCGGCTAAGTATGCTGCTTAAAGCTTCCCGCTGAGGAAGGCTGGGGTTCATGCTCGAGTTGACGATTCAAACACGTCAATTGGCAAGCGGTATGCGCGAAATGACGAATTGGGCACACCATTCGGTATCACATTGGACTTTGCCTGTGCGTTTTTGCCCTTCTCGAACTGTTCACCCCGTTGATGTGCGCTTGCGACCAGCTGTCCAAAACAGGACGATGACATTACGGTGCGCGGCATTCCGCTCAGGTCGAGATAGTTGTGAGCTTACCTTTACCAGCGAGCGTGATACTACGGATCAACGGATCGGGTCGTTCGACGATGTAATTTCCACTGTCACAGACCTGGTCTTTGGCACGATTGATTGGTCGGAGGCATGTCAGCGACTTCCCGCTTATGATGGCGTTCAGGCAGTGGAATAATAGACACATGCAAAATGATGAATCGATAGCGTGTGTTTAACGTGTTTAACACAAAGAGACTTTTCACCCCAGACGGAGGAGAGCTTGATTTAGCGCACTGGATCTGTGTTCCTGGGCGATGCATTGAGCGGTCAAGCCCGCTGTTCTCAGACCTAGCATTGCCGCGCTTTCTATAGACGTGGCTTCGCTCGCCGGCAGGCCCCGATCGCCCACGCTCCCAGCTTGTCACTGTCTCATGCTTGGCCAAATGCTCGAAGAAAGAGAACCGTCGATGATCCATCACCATCCCTTCACCCACAGAGCAACCAGTTGCGACATGTAAACAAGCACATGGGACATCAACGGATCTTGAATCCAGCACTGCAAGGACTGCATCCTGTATCACCAGCCAGCTAGTCCACGACCTCCAGTCAGGGGATTTCAAAGATATGCTTGGACAGCCTGCGCGTCACGGGATGGCGGGGACCTGGGACAGATGTTGACTCATGTTGCTACAATATAGAATGGGCAGGTGCTTGTTCTCGCCTTTCCTCCGCGTATAGGCTGTAGCACACATCCGACCCCGGGTGGAACTCGACCCTTCAATGTATCAACCCCACACGACCCTGCGTGCGTTTTGGCGGCAGGAGGAGTCATACAACTGCGCGTCAGTCATAATTTTCCCAGCCATTAATAGTAATGACTTGGCCCGAACTCAGCGTCGATAGCGGGTGAGATGAGATTCATAGAAGTCAAGAAACATCCGGATTCCCAAGACCATCGCAGCAGGGGTTTCGTCCGGCCTCGGTTCCATTGCGTAATTCGTCGAGATCGATCGGCATCCTAGAAAAGTCGCATCTGGCTTGCATCTGGGACCTTATCTTACTACGCGAATTGCGCACACGTTGAGAGATGATCACTCACATTGAGCTTCCCACCCGCGTCACGCTCTCACACGCGAGATCGGGAAGTTGGAAGCGTCACGCGTTCAGTCACATCGGTACTTATATATTTCCCCCATTACGGTCTAATTTTCCTACCATCCCCCACCGTGCTGCCGCCGCACGCGCCACGCCCTTCGGCCATCTTCTTTCTCTCCTTTCTCTGTCTTCCTTTTCTTGTATCACGAAATGTCCAGCTCCGGCAAAAAGGGCCCAGTCGCCTTCCCGAGTGTCTCGACGTCCTTGAACTCCCTGCATAACGCGAAGACAATGGGCGAGATCTCCATGCATCCTAGCATGTATGCTCAGCGGGCCAAAGAGAGTGAAGCCCTGGTTTGTCTGCCCCTGCTATCGATCTATTTTCACTGCGTCTGACCGGGCTTCTCTCCGATTTAGCTGCGGCAAAGTCTTACAAAACCAGGACACCCTTCTACGCCCGTGAGAATTCCCTGAGCCTGTGCTCACCGTCCTGACACTCTGGTCGTACAGTGCGCACAACCCACATTAGCGGCACCCATGATGCGCACTCCGGTGAGTGCCATCTCTTTGTCACAATTGAGGTGGCCTTTGAGGAATGATTGCGCTGACGACGCCGCCCGCGGGCACGCAGCAAAATCAAAATGAGCGACCGCTACCGCGACAGTAGCCGCACCTCATTGCACACCTCATTGGCACGCCTCATTTGCGCGCCCTCGCACACCCTCTCTCCTCTCATCACTAGACTTCTTTCTACCACCTGGGACTTCGTAGATCGACTGGCTATAGCCCAGTTTCCCCCCACCCGCACGCTCTATTACTTGCATCTCGCTTTCGTCGCTTTCGATTCTCCACTGCATGCAACCCCTCCATCCATCTCATAGACATCATTTATCTTCTGCATCGTTCAGGGCTTCTACACGGGTTTAAAGTACTTTATAGCTTTATCAGCGTTACTCGCACTCATTCACTGTATGGCATCCGCATTATTACACTCGGGGGGTTTGGTTGGCTGTGTATCGGGTGCACGACGCGTGAGACGCGCTCCGCGGACGCGTTTCGAAGGTGTTATATCCGCATCGGTCATAGTGACGCTCACTCTTGACTGTGGCTGCAGGCGGTCATCGGCCGCCTGGTGAGTGTCATGGTCGCTTGTCCCAACACAGGCCAACGTATCCGCGTTGCCACGCTTCGGCTACCACGGCCTAGTATGCGTGGAATTCAGGGTTGATTTTGCGGGTAACGTACAGGTCCGAGCAGCCCGGGCTGCAACTGCGTCTCCGACTCGCCTTGTTACGTACCGGTGAGTCTCTCTCCAAGCGTGGTGAGGCTTTTACGCCGGTTACGCGCATCTGCGTGCCTCCTAATTCCAATTTCTCGCTCTGCCCAGCAATTGGTATTGCGCTGTACCTTTCAAATCCAAATGGATTTAGGGGCCTTCAGCACGTGGGAAGCTGATGCGATGCGAGACAGCGGTCCGCCGGCGACGCTTATCATGACGTCTTCTGGGACGCCGCCTTGGGCCGTCTGCCTGCCCTGGCCTGCCCTGGCCTACCCTGGGCTATCCCCAGAGCGCGGAGCCAGAGCTGCGGAGAAAGAAACCAATCTGACTGGCACATACCCACCGATGCAGAGCTGTGGAAGCTTCGAGGTGATCTGAGCCCCCGCAACAGATCGGACTCACACACGAAGCTGACACAACGTAGTGCAGCAGACGCTGGGACGTGGAAGGAGGACCCTCAAAAGCCAGTGCCATCATGGCGCGGCTACTGTAAAAGGCGCCAGCTTCCTTGCCTGTCCACATACAGTCTCATAGAGTTACCAAAGTTTTACCATTCTGGCTTTGTGTTCCTGGGATGATCCACATGGGATCTGGTCCAAAGTTACTCGAACTATGGACAGACTGCATGCTCACGTGAGATATGTCATGGGCTTGAGGGAAACAAGCTTTGGCCTTGCGCCCAGGTCGCCGGGCCCGACAACGCAGGTCAAAATGCCGAGGACCAACTAGACCAACCCATGACGTTGACTGATCATCAAGGCAGATTAGATATCTACGAGCCCGAGGTGTGTAAGACACCCAATGGGATCTCGTAGGCACCAGGTGCATCATACGTCGCCAGACGACTGTGTGAACAAAACACACAGGCATCTGCACATGGTCGCCAACTCTCTTCAAATCTCGACAACCGAAGAACATGAGGCATTGGATATCCCCGGTCCGGCCCATGCAGTCCCAGTCCTGTCGGGTCGCGACATTTCGAGCAGTCCTAAGATCATGGCATGCGAGATGTCCCAGGCGGCCGTCTGCAATTGGGCACAAGCCTCTGCATGCAGCATCCCGGCGGCGGAGGCTATTATTCGGACAGAAAGTTTCAGCCGACGCCAAAGGAGGTCCGGCAGATGACTGAGGCAAGCACCTGCCGCAAACGGCGCACCAGAGATAAGGCGGGAGAACTGCAATAGTAGCAATACAGTGACTGAGCAGGTCGAGGAACCCTCGGGCTTTACTCATACATAGCAACAGCTTTGAGTCCGAATCGCTGGACTCGCACTGCTTTTTGTGAACGTGTTGGAGATGGGTCCAATAAGATCGCACAGAATTACCAATGGGAGAAAGCGGTCACCGAAAGGCATCATAAGAGCATCATAAGGTCTTCTACAAGAAATCGGATTCTCACACTATACTTTTAGGCGGTGAAGCTGTAATTGCCGCTCGAAGAAATAGCCGAGACCACGGGATTCCCGGAGCCCTAGGAGTGAGCGCGGTTCCCTCCAACGATGGAAGTCAAGGAAGAACAGGAGGCTCCGTATCAGCTCAGCATTGATTGACTCCCATTATCAGTTGAACAAGTCAAGCCCCAGTTCCGAGTGCTGCTTTGTAGGGCGAGTATCGGGGCCGTCGAACACCGGTCAGTCTGCTTTGTAAATTCGACAACAGGCGGTCACAG